GGACCCGAGCTGCAGCAGTCTTCCTGTCTCATTCTTTGTAGACTCACTGTTAAAAGACTTGCAGGCATTATGCTGTTTTGTACAGAGGTCTTTTTAGGAAGGAGTAAAGATTCTCCTTTTTACTACTGAGCTTGCTTTATACTGGCATCATGGGGGGAGTACAATTTTTTTTTACATTTTCAGGCTGTGCTCCATTTCAGTTTACAATGTGGTCATTTGAGGGAGTCCTGTTAATTTCTCTCTCAGACTGTGCTTTTGTTGCTCCAGTGACTGGGTACTGCTTGGCCCAAACTGCTCTTTCCCTCCCTCCTTCCCCTTTCAGGCCGATAATGCAGCACTTGGAGGGAGTACATGCATGCACTACAGATGAGAGGTGCTGAAAACAGTGATCAGCAAATGAGCCCAGCAACACTGATAGTGAATGTGAGCAGCAAGTTCTAAGATTATACGCTGAAAGGGGAGATCAGTGCTTCGGAGCTTTATATAATAATTAAAAAAAAAAAAGCATCCAGGGCAATGAAATGCTGCAGAAGGTCTCATTTATGCATTCATGTGGTGATTTGCTAAAGCATTTTTCGCCACTCTCAGAAGTTTTGGATGAAATCTATTTAGTCAATTAATGCCTCCCTTTATTGTAACGTTTTCTTAACATGCATTGGCATAAAGAAAGTGTATTTACTAATTTCCTTTATTTCCAGGTCATCAGTGATTTCATCACTTTACCATCAGCAACAACCACTCTCAGTTTATGGCCCTTCCCTTTGGTCTTGACTCAGCCCCAGAAGTATTCAAAAAGGTCCTTGCATCAGTTCTGGGTCCTCTCCTCTGAAAGGTATTCCACTGACCAGGTACCAGAACAATCTGTTCCTGCAAGAGCAGACCTCTTTAACTTTGGGGTACCATGTGTCAGTAAAGCAGACCCTGGAGAACTGTGGATAGCTCCTAAACGTCAAGCAGTCATCTCTTATTCCACCATATTTCTTGGAGTACTTGGGCCTTCTCCCAGTTCCCTTTAAGCTAAGGACTTCCTCCCCCAATAGAAGTTGACAAAACTGCAGAATCTGTTTTGGCAACTTCAACCCCAATGTCAGTCTTCCCTGAGAGCTTGCATGCAAGTGATGGGATAGATGGTATCCACCTTTGAAGCAGTGCCATTTGCACAATTTCAGTGCAGATCTTTGCAACTAAATATTCTTATGGCGTGGGAAAAATCCAGTCTTTCTCTGGACAAGATTTTTCAATTACATCCTTAAACCAAGAGGTCTCTGTCGTGGTGGTGGTTTCTGTCTCCTATCTGTTCAGGGTTGTTGGCCACTGGAGAAGTCAAAATGTCCAAAGAACATCCTGGGGTTATAAGCAATTTGTCTGTTAGCTCATTTGATCCCCCTTCCCGTCATCTGATCCAGGTTCAGTTGGACAATACTACAATGGCGGCTTTCATTAGTCATCAAGGGAGCGCCAGGAGTGTTGTGGCGGCAACAGCGGTAGAATCTATTGCGTCTTGAGTGGCGTTTTCAGTTGCTTGCGATCTTCGTAGTGCACATTCCTTAGGTGGAGAACGGGCAGGCAGATTAACTCAGTAGACAAAGTCTGGATCTGGGTGAATGGTCTCTCCATCAAGAGGTGTTCCGGTACATACAGTATGTCTGCATTGAAAGAAACCGGATGTGGATCTGTTAGCTTGGTAAAACAAGACGCTGGACAGATGCTGCCTAGTAGCTGGCCTTGATGACCTAGCTGTTGACACCCAGGTTCTAAGAGAGACATTTCAGATTCGGCTATTCTGACCATGCTTCTCGTAAATCTATTTTCCACAAGAGTTATTATCCAAAATGGAAAACTTATTTTCACTGGAGCAGTCTCTGGGGGGGGGTTTACCCACATGCTTTTGTGGTGGACAAGTTTTTTTTTTTTTCTTTCCTTCAGTTGGGGGTAGAATATTTGGCCATTGGCACCATCAAGGGTTAGGTACCTGCCCATTTTAAACATCCTCTTGCTAATAATTCACTGATTTGCACAACTTATTACCAAACCCACATTTTTTCTTTTTTTAAATTCACTTAAGTTAAATCTAGTGCCCCACACTATATGAAACCATTTTTTTTTGTAAAATATGAGGTTACAAGTAAATAGATACCCAACATGCCCAGGTTAACAATTGTGTGCATCTGTGAAACTGCAACAAAATCCAGTACCCGAAAAGTTCACACTTTAAAAGCCCCTACAGGTCATCATTTTAGAGATACACATAAATATTGGCCCTAGAATTATTGCTCTCACTCTGGCGTGCACAGCAATACCCAACATCTATAGCGCAACTGTCATTTTTCTACGTGGGCACACCCAGCACGTATTTACAGACGACGCACGTGCTCGCAGGAACAGGATTTAAATAAAATGTAAAAATATGTTAATATTTTAAAAACGTTACTTTAAATGCTATCACATAGGGTGGCTTACCCCCCCCCCCCCCATGTGATAGCATATTGGTGGTGACAGATACTCTTTAAGGTGATACTGGGCATCAAAAAGACCCCCAGTGTCACCTTTACACTCTAAATAAGCTATTGAAGTGCAGTAGCTTATTGCTGGGCTTCAGGAGCCCAGCACTGACAGCTATGGGACTGGAAGTGATGCAATACGCGTCACGAACGGGGAGATCTGTGAACGGACGTTCACCGCTCTCCTCCCTAGGTTCCTGCTCACACCCAAGATGCCAGGCCCGTAGGAGGGGCAGCGGAGCACGAGAAACACGGCAGGGATGGTTCAAAGAATGGGATCTGGTGACAGTGGCGTCGTCATAATTGCTTCTACTGTAAAGCCAGCCATCGGCTCTACAACTATGAACAGAATATGTTTAACCCCTTGAGGATTCATGAGTCGTGAAGGGGTTTAAACAAATACATGTGATAGGATGGAACCAACTCATGTCTAAGCCCGTACAATTATGTTGCTAACAGAAGACAGAGTTTAGCTAATTTGTTCTTGATGAAACTGAGCTACATAAAGAAGCTATTATTCAAAAGATCACAAACATGGCAAGGCCTAGCCTCTTCGTCTAGGTGTTGTAACATGTTCTGCATTACATTTTTTGTTTACAAGGACTGTTGATTCTAAAAAGGCAATTATACATGCTACAATTCTTGACAACCAGTAAGAATTTTGAGATATTATTTACCAAAAGAAGTAGCATGGCTGATAGTAAACTGTATTATAAAATTCCATTCAAGTAAAGATAGCACTGTAAAATGGCAAATAAAATGCATGGGATATAATAGGCAGCAAGTGAACATTTTAGCCCTGAAGTTGATGTGTTGGAAGCAGATAAAAAAAAATAGGCAAGCTTAAGGATTTAGTCAATTTTGACAAGGGGCGCATTGTGAGGGCTGGACGACTGGGTCAGAGCAACTCCAAAACTCTGGTGGGACTTTGCCGGTCTGCAGTGGTCAGGAGCTACCAAAGTAGTCCAAAAGGAAGGACAACTGGTGAACCTGCAACAAGGTCAGGGGGTGGTAGTGTAATCCAATCCAAAATAGAGCTACTGTAGCTCCAATTGCTGAATAAGTTAATGCTGGTTCCGATAGCAATTTGTCTGAACACAGTGCATTGCAGTTTGTTGCATATGGGGCTGCATAGCTGTAGACTGGTCAGGGTGCCAATGTTGACCCGTGCCTACTATGGCCATGTGAGCATCAGAACTGGATCATGGAGCAATGGACGAAGGTGTCCTGGTCTGATGGATAAGCAGGAAATCACCAGCACTCAGTAATAAAGATAAATATGTCCCTTTTATTGGACAATAAGCATCACAGACATCCAAAAAAACCCGACGTTTGTGGTCACATCTTTCTGCCCTGAGGAAGGGACGTTGCGCGGCCCTGAAACGTCGTTTTTTTTATGGCTGTCTGACGCTTATTGTTCAATAAAAAGGGACATATTTATCTTTATTACTGAGTGCTGGTGATTTCCTACTTTTCCTGTGTTTGTCATCCGTGGTAATACATCACTGCGAGCACCACCTTTTCTCATCTGGCCAGGACTGCTGTGAGGAGTGCGGAGGGTCTCTCCATCGACTTACATCTGGTCTGATGGATCACATTTTCTTTTATATCATGTTGATAACCGAGTGCATGTGTGTCACTTACCTGGGGAAGAGATGGCACCAGGATGCACTACGGGAACAAAGCAAGCCGAGTAAGGCCATGTGATGCTTTGGGCGATGTCTGCTGGGTAACCTTGGGTCCTACTATTCATGTGGATGTTACTTTGACACATACCACCTACCTAAACATTGTTGCTGACCAAATACACCCCTTTCATGGAAGCTGTATTTCCTGACTGCAGCAGGCCTCTTACCCTGCCACACTGCAAAAATGGTTCAAGAACGGTTTGAGGAATGCAACAAAGAGTTCAGTTTGTTGACTTGGCCTCCAATATCTCCAGATTTCAATCCAATTGTACATCGCTGGGATGTGCTGGAGAGACAAGTCCCATTAATGAGGGCCCCACTCCACAAATTTACAGGACTTAATGGATTTGCTACTGACGGCTTGGTGCCAATTACCACAGCATCTTTAGAGGCCTAGTGGAGTCCATGCCAGGACTGTTCTGGTGGCAGAAGGGGGACATACTCAATATTAGGCAGGTGGTGATAATGTTCTCTTTTAGGAAAACATTGGTAGTCCTCCTTGCCGCAATTTGATTGAAATGATTTTTGCGTACAACATTGTGCCAAATCATAAAGACTATGGGAGAAGCCACGCTGCTGATTTTAAGAGCTTGTATTTAATATGACCTTTATTTCACAAGCAGTATAAATATTTGGATGATTCACCCAAACTAGTCAGTAAAGCATTTTTTAATACGTGCAAATGTAATATGCAGACATTTGACCCAAAAGGCTACTGTATAGACTTAAGGCCTTACAAACCTAGTAATGCCAGTGTTGAAAAGCCTTCAATGCAATGACTTCTTTAACATGTTTATGCACACAGGGAAAATAGTTTAATTCATTTTTATTTGTATATGTCAAAATACACTTTTCTCAAAAGACTAGGTTTGTTAGGAGTTTCATGCAGATACAGAGCTTGCTCATTACCACCAATAAAATCACTGTAGCACAGTAGCCAATCTGTTTAGATAAAGAATAAATAAACTAAATATAAAATACTAAATTAGAAATATTTAATCATTCTTCACAGACACCCAAACGTTTGCCAAGTATAACCCATAATTTAAGCAATCTAGCATCTCCACAATCGTGCAGTTTCGTCGTCTGCTGTACAGTTCTTTTACTTGCATCCTCAAGATGCAACTCTTTAAGACCCTCACATACACAATAAATGAACAGCAACACCCCACTATTATCTTTGTACCTTTAAAAAGTCAAGAATCCTGAGCTTGGCAGTAAGAGCAAGGCAATGTATCTCCATAAAACGTAGAAACCAAAACAGAAGGACATAAAGTCTGGATAACCAAAGAATCCCCCCAAAAATAGGCAGTAGATCACAATGACCTTTTTTTTTTTCTTTCGTAAATTAAAGGGGTACAAATTCACATTTAATATAGTATACATTATAGTCAACAATACAATAGCTGCTGAAAGCTTTACAATTTACAACTTTGTTTTAATGACCAAGCTGTTTCAGTGGATTAGATAATTCATGTGCCATTGTTATGCCGTCATTCTCATAGGTCAGTGAAAATATAAAAGCTTTAAAAAAGAAAAAAAAAAAAAGGAAAAAAGCAGCAACTCTCACTTAGCCGTATACACATACATATTTATAATATTTGTTACTTTTACTTTCTGCAAAAAGGCCACTGAAATGTAGAAAATAGATATGATGGTGGTATTAAATTACATGCCTTCTGACATGATAACAGTGCATTTACACAAGAGAGTGCATGTTAGAATTATAAGCATCGTGACTTCACTGACTAGCACAAAATGATATTGACAGCACTCAAAAGAAACATGAAATGTAGTGAAATAATAACATACTTTTAATAGTTGTGACTTAAAAAGAAAAATAACAAAATCAGAATATTTTACAGTTATAACTAAAGTCACGCCTCCATAAAATAGACAATATACCATAAAATGACTGAACTTTATTAAGATCACTACTACTTAGGAATAATCTAACCTGGAGTAACAGACATTGCGGACAAGGAAGTGGATCTGAGCATGCCACACAGTGGTTTGGAAACGATACAGCTTCTCCATATATACCAATATATAGATATAAACTAGCATATCTATATACTTCTGTATATACACGCACACAAATATATACACATGCAAAAAAAAAAAAAAAAAACAACTCAGTACCTGCTAAAAAGGAGTATGGAGGCTATAGTACTGAATATCTCATTCAAACCTTATAAAAGTGATGGCTAGAAGGGAAAAGGTTTTACCTTCTCATTTTACAGAGATTAGCTTAGCACACCAAGTGCAACTTCCCCTCTAATGTCTGAGTAGTCAAATAAGTCATTAAAACTGATTTCCTAATGGTCATGAACTGTGACACTTCGAGTTTCTGTAAACCTATACATTAGGCCTAGTCAACCTGTAGCTCTGTTGCCGACATCCCAGTAAGCTGTGTCAGTACAACATCAGCGTGAACATGACAGGCTACGTACAGTACTTCAATAAGCGGTCTACAAACTATATGAAAGAATTGCTGGCACAGTCACCCGACTTAAAATTTCAAGAGAATGTTACATAGAAGTAAAAATAAAGTGAACTGAAAGATTTCATGTGTGGCACAACATAAACTGTGTGGTAACTGTCTGTGGTAGCAGAAAGCTGCTTGATAGCAAAAAGGCATATGTACAACTAAGGCTTACTGGTTAAATATAGGAGGCTTCTGGCCTTGAACACTTTTCTTGCACTTTGTAACTGTAAACAAGAATTCATAGTCACTTTTTCTCCCCTCAGCAGCCGCACTTTAATACAAAACAAATTTTCTTTTGTACAAAATGGAAAAAAAAAAAAAAAGAAGGAGGAGGGAGTTTGGCAGGATTTGTGAAAGTTACAGTTGCCAAGGAATATTCCCCCACAGATCCAGTGACTGCCACACTATGGTCCACTGGAGTTACACATGTGCAATGCCATTAAACTGCTGCTGTGGTAAAACCATTTTCTATTTGGAAAGCTTGCTTATAACTCTGATTAAGGCTCCATTTTCATCTTTCAGCCTCTGGTTGTCTGCTTTCAGGTCAGGTAACATCTGTTTGGAGAAAGAACAATATGGAGGTTTAAAAAACAAAACCTTGATAGAAAATCCATTGCAAGTCTCAACTTTAAACAGCTAAACGTAGTCTTCCAGGTAAAGATAGGCAATTTAACAGCCTACTCCTTTAAATTCATATACTATGGAACTGTGTACGTAAAGGAGTAATGTCCCTGTATTCAAATTATGTGTAGTATAATGAAACAATAAATGGTTGTCTAAGACAAAATGATTGTGTCGCAGTATTCTATAGCAGAAAATGAACATGGGAGACACAGGAAGATGCTACAAATCCTCCCATCTACACATAAATGTGATTACCATTTAATGTTCAGGAAAAAGTGTACTTGGCATTGTCTCTATGTGACAAAACTGGATGGTGTTAATGCACAGAAACACTTCCACAACTATTAAAGTTTGCATCAAGCCTTATAATACATGCTGAAAGCCATATATCTCCTCGTATAAAGAAAAGCAAATGTGCAACCAGACCATATATAGGTTTTACTTACTAAGTATCGAATAAAATATAGGTTTCCTTAACCCTTTTGTTGCCATGGATGTAAAGCACTATGGCCGCAGCAGCGTCAACCTGTAAGCAGCTCCCTGACCATTATAGGTGCCTAGAGTCTGTTTACATTTCTTCTGCAGCCTGTTGTCTATGTTAGAAAGGATGTGGGTAGCTGTAAAACCGCTTGATCACTTTGACAGGCTGCACAATGAGCCCCCCCATATGTATTCCTGGGACATCCATGACAGGGTGTCAGGATTTAGAGCGGAGACACATCAGCAAACACCCAGGCTTTTATTGCAGTCATTCCCACACCACCGGGACCTGGGAAGAAGCCTGTTAAGCACGAACTGTGTTCATTTAGCTTCAATCGAGTGCAGCGGTGACAACCTTCCTCAAAAAACCCACACCCAAATTGCAACTACCATCATTTTATTTTCCTGGGTCTCTGCTTTCAGAAAATATGTTTGGGGATTTCGAGTAATTGTCAGGCCTAACATGTGCAAAAAAATATAAAAATTGCTAAGCATTGGCTCTGGCAGCAAAAGGGTTAAAGCTCAATTTAGGGCAAATATATAAAACACAAACAAATAAAAAAATCATAATGAAGCTTTTTAAAATCGAGCTAGTGTAAACACCTTTATGTCTTGAAACATAGCCTCCTGTAATCTCCTGTACAGTAGCACTAAGCCTGGTTGAGGGCAGCACACTGAGCCATTCAAGCCCTCAAGCAATGCACGTGTGCCCAGAGACCACGCTGAAAAGAGGAGATCGCAGATCAGGCACAGCTACAAAGTCCATTGTAGGATATACCTCACTATGCTGTTCTTTCTTCCGTACCGAACCACAAACTACCTCCAAGATTTGGTGATCAGTCAAAACTGGGACACTTTAACTCAAAACCTAGATGACATGTTTGTCAACCTCCAACATTAAACAGCAACAATCAGTAGGTATGTAAATCATTTGTTACCATCAGTCTCGAGTCAAACCTTTGCAGGGCTAACAGCCCGTGCTTAGGAATTGTCAGACGTAGGTAGGAGCATACTAGATCTCTGGCACAACACTTGCAGTATGTTTAACCCCTTCATGACGGGAGACGTACACTGTACGTCCAGCCACAAAGGGACCAAATGACTCGTCACGTACACTGTACGTGACGAGTTATTTGCTGCACTAGAAGGCTGCTAACCGCTGAGAATCAGCGGTTACCTTTCAGTAATGGATGTCAACTACAAATCAAAACTGGGAAAAAAAGTTTACGTTTTTTCCTCTTTTTTTAATTTGTATTTGTCCTAAGTGAGGCGTTAGACACACATATGTGATATAAATATATAGCCCTATATGTCCTCTAAAAAACAATATATAATATGTGTGGGTGCACTTTGTAAGAAAGTATATTACTGACGTGGAAGAATCACACAGCAAAAATGTCAAAAGTGTGTCAGTCATTTACGAACAGAAACCAAAAACAAGCTTAGTCATGAAGGGGTTAAAGGGACTTTGCAGAGATGTACTAAAATGTTTTTAATTTGGCCTTGACATATGCTTTAAAACACAACCAGTCCTCATAGTAATTGATTAACCCCTTCATGACTGAGCTTGTTTTTAGTTTCTGTTCGTAAATGACTGACACTTTTGACATTTTTGCTGTGTGATTCTTCCACGTCAGTAATATACTTTCTTACAAAGTGCACCCACACATATTATATATTGTTTTTTAGAGGACAGATAGGGCTATATATTTATATCACATATGTGTGTCTAACGCCTCACTTAGGACAAATAAAATATAAAAAAAAGGAGGAAAAAACACCGTTAAAAAAACACTTTTTTCCCAGTTTTGATTTGTAGTATTTTTTTTACAAAAACAGCACAGCTAAAAAAATGCAATAAATACATTCATTTATCCCTTATTTTTATTTATTTTTTTACACATTTGTTGTTTTTTTTTTACACTTTTCACTTTTTTTAAAACTTAAAAATGTTATTTTATTTATTTAATTATATCAAGCAGTCATTGTGAATTAATCTCACTGTTACTGCTTGATAAATTAATAATTTTTGGTTATTATCAGGCTGCTTCAAACTTCAGAACAGCCGATAATATGTTAGTGACACTGATCCTGCAGCAGTTCAGGATTCAGCTGTCACTAAAGGTTTTCTGATTGTTGCAACAACAATCAGCAAACTGAAACATTCTTCTTTCAGGAATAGATTATGTATCTATTGGTGAAAGGAAAAAAAAAAAAGCCAGTATAGCGAGATCTATACGAGCTGTCAGAATGCCGGCAAAAGCTTTTGCCGGCATGTGTGTCCGCTCTGCTTTCACTCTGACACCCGATATTAAGGTACAGTGTACGTGACGAGTCATTTGGTCCCTTTGTGGCTGTACGTCTCCCGTCACGAAGGGGTTAAAACAAAAACCCAAAATCACAGAACAGGATAGACTTGTCCTAGGAAAAGTACCTACCAGCTTGGCCACTAAAATGAAGAGTTGACAACTGTTCTTGCACAAAACAGGCAGTCCGATCATCTGGTTGTGTTATATGTCTGGGGACTATGGTCCCCAAGCCTTATGCAAGCAAGTCTGACATTTAACTCGTGTCTGCTTGGACCAGGACGGTCTGAGATTTGGGGTACAGAGTGATGTTAGCAGAAGTTGTGCTGGAGGACAGATAGATGGAAACTGATGGAAGGCTTGGGTTTTTAGAAGACATGTATAAGGATGAGGAATTATTAAGACTGGGAGTAAGCCTAAGAGAACTAAGGAGAAGCAGCAGCATGTCGAGGTTCATGTCCTAAGTACATGCACTGTAATGACCTCGGTGTACTACTGCTCCTTTAGTGGCCAAACTGCAGGTTTGGGGATAGGTTTTTGACTAAGCTTGTGTTACTGCAGTGGAGGTCAAGGGCCTGGTTATGCTCTCTACCTCCTGGGTGCATGGATCACAAGACTGGCTATCAAGAATTACAACTCCTTCGAAAAGAACAACAGGTCACACAGACATTTTTCTGTCTGTGTTCACTAGTTAAAGTGTGTTCATTTTGTTGCCTGAAATTTGGTAAAACAAAGACATGGAAAAAGGTCAATATACTCCATAGTAATGTCACAACTTGAAATATATTACCAATAACAGTACATGAACAAGTCTTAAAGCAGCTCTATCACCGAATTGTCTGTTTAACAGATGCAATACATTTGGTCTTATTGGCTCATAGGTAAACAGACTGTTTTAAAAAGAAAGTATATACTTTTCAAAAGGAGGACAGATTTGGGCTGTCAGGGGAAGGACATCTACAAAAAACACATAGGGAGGAATTTATCAAAACTGGAGCAGACAAAATCTGGAGAAGATTTTCAAGGTAGCCAATCAGCCTCTCTCTCTCTCTCATTTTCAAATCTCTTCTGGGCACACTGGAGAGAGAAGCTGATTGGTTGCCACGGGCAACAACTGCTCCAGATTGTGTTTGCTCCAGTTTTGATAAAACAGTACGCTACTTGCTGAGATTTCCAGCAAGCAAAATCTTGTGAGCATCCTGAACATATAGTATTTACTTATGCAAGATGGAAGCGCACACGTGGTGGTTTTTAATTTACAAAAGTGGGATTGTAAAAGGCACTCATGTGACACTGACCTACATCTACATTCTGACTAGATCCTATCTTCTGAAGGAGAACACTGGGAATTTTAATTTCTATTCGGGTAAAAGAAAATGATGAGGGTTCGCACTGGGGATTACCATTTCAAACGTTAAGCACTGCATGCAAAAAAGCCACACTGTAATTAACAAGCAAATCCCCAGCCATACTTATGCACTAACAGCAGATCATAGCAAGGCATTAGCTCAAACAGGGCACCTGCCTGGCTAGCCATAGGAGAAGGAATTACAAGTCCACAGACTGTAGCTGCCTACAGGACTCTGAGAGCTTGCCAACAACTCTGGTCAAAGCTCTGTTTTCAGCCACCAGTCGTTCATTTAACTGTCTCAAAGTTTGTATCTGTTTTACTTGATGGAGGTTCTGCAGATTTAAACAGACATGACAGAAGTGAAAAGATGATGTATAGGATAAAAGGGAATTAAGGACGTACACCAAACAAAAGACCTGCATTCTACACATTTTGCATTCACATATCTAAACACATGGCATCATATTGCAAGATTTTTAAGTTAAAAGTCAAAAGGCTAAGAGTGTTATTAGGATTTTTAGCTAAAAGATTTGGTGCCGAGTCAAAAGCACTGGGTCCCCAAATTCTATAGTCCAGGGACAAGTGTAAACCAAGTTTTAAATGTTGAGGACCAGGTATACAGATATCCACTTTACCCTGTGAACATCAAATTAAAACATCAAACATGTTAACTCCTGGCAGGCTTGGTAAAGCTGTAGTGAAGGTGGTTTTGCCTTTAGATAGAAACAAAGCTAATACAGTGACTCTTCCCATATCTCTTAGAAGCGCGTGCGCGCACACCTTAAGATGATAAATAGACCATGTAGCTCGTGGCACAACTTTTGTGCTTGAACATTATGCTTCTACTTGGTTATCACCAGCTTTACACTCTTAAAATAGCACTTAATGTCTAACTGGTTTAATATACCCAATGCATTGGAAATAAGTAATCAAAGTAGATTGAACTTTGAGAACCTTGCACATGCTTAAAAGGTCAATTGCATTAGTTTGTTTCCTTTTCCTGCACATGACAGAAAACACCATTTATAAAATTCAAACATGACAAATGAACTGCACCTTACATTCTGTGCCCATCTGCTTTCTATGCAATTTTATAATTATCCCGTCAATGAGGCTTTTCAAGTCTTACAGATCCTGCGCCCTTTATGCATTACTACCTATAATACAGAGGGGTGTGGACTGTATACTGAATTGAAGTGCAACAGTATGAAATAAAAAGAATAGATGACTATACTGTCCACTCATTTATAGAGTGATTTTAATTACAGGTTGTGCCATCATAATTTGTATGACTTCGTACACACTCATTTAGGCTTTACCCTTAATCTGAATACTTACTTTAAGTTCTTCTTCCATTTCAGATATTCGTCTCTCCAAAGCTCTTCTTTCCTAAAGAGAGCAGCAGAGGTATACTATGTATGAGTAAGTGGTACAGATGGAGAAGGTAAAGAAACACCATTTAACTGCCATAAGGACTGCCTGCAATGGAACAAAAGTTTGCTTCTAACATCTGTAGCACATTTCTAGCAGAGACTGTGCTTTCCACTGGTTTGTCTTAAAATGTAGGTTTTCACAGCAACTTTAAGTAACTTGGCACTTACACACTCCATTCCTATCTGCACAGTAAAAAAAAGGTTTTCTTTAGCTCTTGGCGCTAATGGCTGCCAGCTGAACAATCCACTTGCTGTTGCACACTCAAAGTTTTCAACAATTTATCACAGTTTTTTTACACAGACTTGAGGGGCTGCTCATCCAAGGCTCTGGGGCTTCCACCACGAATATAGAAAACAAAAGGGAACAGAGCGCCACCTCCGTGTGTACAATCGTTTATTACAATAAATAAAACAAGGGATAAAAGTACTCACACGTTTTCATCAGGCTTTAACAACAAATGAGAGGCCACACTGTTAACCCAACATGGTATATCCCCGACCATGTAACACGGTAGTCTCCGGTCACATCACCGTCCACCGACTGCAGTCAGCCAAATTGACGCGTTTCATGTGATTCTGAGGAAGGGGGCTTGCCCCTGAAACGCGTCAATTTTGACTACTACTAGACCACATGGAATAAACTGATAACGAACAGCAAAGCATAAGGATAAATACCACTGTCTTGTTGTAAATCCTCTTTAGCACACACCGAGCATCCTTGAACCCCAAGCACTCACAGAATGCAGATCATGACATAGCTTCAGAGTCAGAGGTCAGTCTAACCCCCCTACAACCAACAGTCTGGACAACACCCAATGGATTGCTGAGCATTCAGTGCTTTGCAGGAAGGTGCCACTAATATCACGAAGCTAGGAATCTATAGCCCCAAACCTGGAATTGAGGGATTTGAAAACGTATTTATAATACGGCAATGGTAAGACATTTCCATGCCCGGTGTCAGAAAGACACTATTTAAGCGATGTGAGCTCGTGACAGATTCCCTGTAAATGCCGTATAAATATGGAAACACTTCCTATTAAAAAGACTGGCAAACCATAAGTGAAGGAAAAGCTTTAAGGTGTAGAATATAATGCAGGCTAGAGACTGTTTAGAGACAGCAGCAAATAAAGTCCAATATCGGAGATGTAATACCTTCATGCAAATCGGAGATATTGCACAGATAAAGCAGCATAAAATGGCGCGCTCATACTGGGTCGTTTTTGATTACTTTTCAGACACAAATCACTTCAATCAAATTATGATGCAGCTACTGTGTTATTGTACATTTTATTACATCCTTTGAATGCGTTCGATGTTAAACTGTTCATGGTTTTGGTCTACTTATGTAAAGGGCCAGTCCACAGAGAAATCATTTTAATTTTATTACATTTTGGAGAATTAAATGACCTACAGTTAATCTCTGGTAGCAAGTTCCTTGGCCTGCAGAATGGTCATTGCCAATACAACAGGGTGCCACAGAATGTAGGAATTGTATTTTATTTCATAGAGAATGCAGAAGGCAGAGCAAAGATAAGCAGGTGGAACAATAGCGGTAAATATTTGCCACTGCAGTCGCCAAGCGATAGAAGATGCCAGGGGGTGACTAAGCCTGCTCTGTAACACCTACAAATGAACTCTTTAAAACGCCATCATGTAAACTGTTTTAACAAAAGGAGCTACTTGGTTTCTTTGCCACTTACTTCCATGTTCACAACTGTCTCAGTAAATGATTTTATTTGTGCATTTTAACAACTCTAAGACAGAAACCAGGCTTGCAGTTTGAATAGACTAAACAAGTCTTCCCCATCCTGGCTTCACTCGACAGCAAGTCATTGACCAGAAACAAGCAAGCAGGTTGTCAGTTTAGTCTTTGCAGATTTTACTGGTTCTATGCATGTTCCAGTTAAAGGAGAATTTTGAGGCGAGTGATTTTCACTCAGCCTCATAATCTGAGCCGACCTGTGACAATGAGACTTGTCACAGGTCAGCTCAGTAGATCGGGAAGTGAGCGAACACATACCGGCGCTCGCTCACTTCTAGAGCTATGCGTGCAGAGAGCTGCGACTGTCACTCACGGCGCCCTGCAGGGATTCACCCCCTCCCCTGTCCGATCCTCCAGTGCTGACTGGCGGAACGGACTGGGAGGGGGCGGGTACAGCTGGCTCTGCATCTAGATAGGCTCTAGTGAACCAATTAATAAACTCTTATGGAAATCTCCATGCTTTTCGGCTTCTAGTTCTTTAGTTTAGGCAGTTCTGGTTTTATAAAATCAGGGCATAAACAGAAGATGGTTCAAGGTCTGCATGGAACAAATTTAAACATGCCTTCATTATTTTTAACTATTTGCTGATTTAAACAGATGTAATATTCAAAAATAGTTTTTGCCCTCCTATCAAAACATCAATTTCCCAGAGGCTTTTGTTTTACCTTCCTCTAGGTCAAACGTGTCGTAAAAGGTTAAACTGAAAGTAAACCTGACCTGGAATGTTTCTAAGGCAATAACGGGGCTAAAACGATTTTGCTCTGCTTCGACGATGGGCCCCACCTCGCTCATTCAACTGTCGATTGTCAGAGCCTCTGTTGTCCACTGGGGTTTTGTCATTCGATAGTTTAATGGGTGAGGTGAGGCTTTTTGTTGGGAGTGGACAGGGCTTAGTTAGGGCAGAAATGAAGGCACCATGTACAGCCTGGGTCTGGAATCCAAGCATCTTCACAGGGACATTGATCGACTAATACAGATATTTTAAGGCACCACAGGGTGCTTGCACTTCTGCACTGCTACTCTTGCCTTAGAGATGTTTTAGGTTAAGTCAGGTTCATTTTAAATCCGAACTACAGAGTAAACTTTTTTGTTGTGTTGTACTGAGATTTATTGTTGAAAAATTTAAGGTTATGCACATGGGAGCAAAGAACGTGTGCACAAACTACTGTTTGGGGGGTGCTACGTTAGGGAAGTCGGACAAAGAAAAAGACCTGGGCGGTCCTCATGGATCACAGATTTGGCAATAGTAAGCAATGCCAAGCAGAAGCTAGCAAACCAAACAGGATTCTGGCGTGCATTAAAAGAGAAATTGTAGCAAGGGAGAAAAGAGTAATACTACCACTTTATAAATAATTGGTTCAGCCTCATCTTGAGTATGCGGTGCAGTTTTAGTTGCCAACTCTCAGGAAAGACGTCCTCGAGCTGGAGAGAGTTCAGTCAGGGCTACAAAATGAATTAAAGGGATAGAGGGCCTGAGTTATGAAAGACCGCCTTCAGAAATTAAACGTATTCACCTTAGAAAAGAGGCGATTAAGAGGGGATCTTATTGCAGTCTACAAAATCATCAGTGGGGACCGCAATATTCGAAACAAACTGTTTTATCCGAAAACTGTATTGAGAACACGGGGACACAATAAGAGGTTGGAGGAAAGGGGGTTTAGTCTTAGAATTCGTAGGGTTTTTTTTTTTTTACTGTGAAGAGTAGAGAAATTGTGGAATTCCCTTCCACAGGCGGTAGTCTCCGCTGAGAGCGTTGATAAATTCAAGAAACTTCTCTATGAGTTTCTTATTTCACTTCATATACAAAAGTATGGGCAGTGTTAGCGCTGTATAAATACAGACACAGAATCACATACACCCATCCATACACATATAGGTTGAACTGGATGGACCCTTGTCTTTAGTCAACCTTACCTACTATGTAAGATAGGCGGAGCCAGCTATCACTTGCGCAGCTGGGTGGATCTCGAGAGTAATGTCGGGATCCGTTCCAGCGTCTCAGTATACTGCAACCTCGCGGTATACTGAGCTTTGGGTGACGAGAGGACGCTTGTTTGTGTTCTCCCGTGACCCTTAGGAGAACTATGGGGAAAAGCCTTAACCACATAGTTCTCCTTTAATAACTCAAATAGGGATGAAAGGATTAGAGTGAAAGTCCAAAAGCTGCACCTATAGAATCAAGTGAGAAGTGGCCGTTCCCATATTATATTATATCATCATCACAGATTGGATTCATTCAGTGATGATACTTAAACAGGAATATACAAAAACTTACCCTTTTTTCGATTTCTAGAAGTGATCTATCTGCAAATCGTTCTTGCCGCTGAAACACAGAAAAGACCACACAGACTTTATAAAATGTAGACATCAGCAGGATGCATACCCTCCTGCCAAATGTCCCTGACTTCAAATAATACGGTCAGGTTAGAAAGGAAATATAAAATACAAGCTATTCCTCTACAGAACAGAAATACTAATAGTACAAATAGTGCAGCAACTCCTAGGAAGCCAGTCCTGTAACAGCTATCAAACACATCAAAATTGACAAAACCACTGCCTGGATCTACCCACGTCTTAGCATAGTACAAAACCTAAAATGTTTTAAAAAGGTATATCCAAACCTGTGTTGCTTTTTCAAGCTGTAACTTTAGTTCTGTTAATTCCTGGTTGGTGTCATGCAACTGGGCCTTTAACTTCTCATTTTCTGCTATAATTTGTTCATACAACTGGAATAAAAAAAAAAAAAGATACTATGCATGAGTCCAATAACAAAGCACAGTAGTATTCACATTCTATGTACACTGAACTTGTTGTGAGGCAAGCACCATGATATTCTGCAGTTTTGTCATAGGAAAGAACAGCATGTGTGGCCTTACTGAGCTGCAACAGCTCAGCACAGAATTTCTTTCCCCATCGCATGCGGTAGAGCAATCCAGGTCTCAAAAAAATGGTACATGCAGGCCACCATACATTTCTATGCCACGCTGAAGCAGTGAGACGACATGCAGTGCAAGTCCCTCATCTACATGTACTCGCTACAAAACTGTGATTTTACAATAAAATCACATTTAATGTAACAGCACCGTATGACCACAACCCTATATCAAACTAGTGTATTTATAGCATCATAACGGAGTCAGAAATCTTATTGGGGAAAACCACCTGCTGCTAATTGAACGGCTTTCATAGAAACCCCAGGGATTGTGTAGCTCAGTAGCCGAGCGACTCATCCTCAACAGGACATTTGCCAGCTTCAGCAAATACTTAGGCCATCCAATGCCGTAATTGATGTTCATGTCACAGCAATAATTTGTGTCTGTGTAGACATGATACAAACTCTGGAAAATTACATCTATAACTGCTACACAATTTCCTGTGTGCAATCAGCCTAGAATGAGAAAATACATTTATAACCTGCAGGCTAGCAGACTGAATAGAAAATACTGTCCTTAAAGTGTCCACTTTCGCAGCCAAGCTGGCATAACACCGATTTAATATTTGTTGCACATTCAGATACAAGTTTAAAAAAATAATTCTTGCAGATTAAATTGCTTTTACTCGTGTTAGGGTTACTTGGCTTCTTAAGGGTTAAAGTTTCTACTTGCTTCTTTGTAAAGTTAGGAGGGTCTGCGACGGGTTAAAGCAGGTTTCCCTCAAAAGAGTCGGTTGTATTTTGTAAGACTATAAATGTACCTACTCCATCATATTAAATTATTGCCTCTGCATTCGATTATTACTGGTTTTGGTAATACTTGAGAACTATGAGGTGAGTGATTTCCACTCACCTCATAGTTAGAGCCGACCTGTGACAAAGGATAGATAGGCAGAGCCAGCTGTCATTCACGCAGCTGGGTGGATCATGACAGTATTGTAGGGATCCGTCCCGGCTGCAGTGCTTTCAGTATATCGTGGGCACTAGCCCCCTATATACTGAGCTTTGGGTAACGCTAGTGTATGTCCTCCCGTGACCCTAAAGACAACTATGGGGAAAAACACTTACCCCATAGTTCTCTTTTAAGTAACAACTAGCTCTGAAAGTAGAAGTCTAGGGCTTAAAAATTTAAAGCGCTGGTATAGGTGCTTAGTATCGGAGACAAGGTGGGGGCAGAGATAAGAGCGGTGCCGCAGCTACAGGAGAAGTGCAAGGGCCACATATAATGGCGTGGCAGGGCTTGTGTTTGGCACATGTGGGTTAAAGGATTACAGCCATGGCTTCTGCATTCAAATATTAACAAAAAGGTATTGAGAGAAACACAATCCTCCAATTTCTAAGTCATTCTATTAGTGCAGATTATGAAGGTGCTCAGAAAAACATGGAAACAGCCATCTTGTCTGCTGCAACAAAACATCTAAAAAAGGTAAGAAATATTTCTAAAAAATATTTTTGGTTTCCTTTGTCAATAGAAACTCAAACATATAGAAGGGCTTTCCTAAATTTGACTGCAACAGTGGAAACACTCTAAGCCTGGAAATCAACAGCAAAAACATATTCTGTGTGCAGAATGGTGATCATTACCTTTTTAAAATCTGTTGAATCATCTCTGTATAGTCTGCTGTAAAGTTTTCCTCTTTCTAAATAACTAGAAGATCCAATATTTGATTCATATCGGTCACTGGATAAAATACCTGAAGTTCCCGGATACCTGGAAACCAATTGACAAATATTTACCTTTTTTCTTTTTTAAACAGAAACTATATTTCTCCGTATGCATGACTACTGAAATGGTACATTTTTATTCCAATGCAAAAAGCCATACACATTTTCAGAAGAAAAATACACTTTCCACAAAAACTGAACTTTTATGGCATCCAGTGCATGTTGACAAGAGTTGCAGACCATTTCACATTTTAATAGGTTTATGTAGCAATATTAGGATGAAACAAGCTATCTGTGATGGCTACTACAGATTTTTACACATTTTCTTTAGCAGGATGTTAGCAAGTTCAATTATTCGCTATATGCAGATACTACACTTTGTTCTCAAATTCTCAGACACATACAGATGTGGACAACATTTGTTGATACCGTTCCACATAAAAAAAAAAAGAACCCACAATTTTCTGCGAAATGATTTGAAACTGACCAAATTGTCATCTATCATTAGATATGCCATACTTAATACAAATCAGTCTTTGCTTCTGATTTAACAGACTTTATTTTAAATAAAATTAATTAAAATGGTATGGACAAAAATGATGGGACCTTTAACCTAATATTTTCTTGTACAACCTTTAGAAGAAATTACTGCAGTTAAGCAATTCCTGCAGCTCTCAAAGAGACTTCTGCATCTGCTAACAGGCAGTTTTGGTCTTCATGAAAACAGCTGCAGCTGTTTCTGGTTTGAAAGTTGCCTTCTCCAGGCTGCATGTTTCCGCTCTTTCTTATAGATGCTCGACGGGATCCTGATCAGGGCTCAAAGGCGGCCACTTCAGAATAGTTCAAAGTTTTGTTCTTAGCCATTCTTGGGTGCATTTAGCCGTGTGTTTTGGTTCATTATCCTGTTGGAGGACCCATGAACTGACTGGGAAAGAGCTTACCGACATTGGACTGTACATTTTGCTCCAGATTTCCCTGGCAGTCTTGAGACTCCATTGTGCCTTGCAGTTAGCACCCACTCTGTGCTGGATGCCACAAAGCAGCCCAAAGACATAAGTGAGCCTCCTCCATGTTTCACGGTAGGTATGGTGAAAGCTTTAATTTTTTTTCATCTGTGAAGATAGAGCTGATGCGGCTTGCCACAAAGCTCCGGTTTTGTGTCATCTTTCCAAAAGACATTCTCAAACAAGCATTGGGGCTTGCAAATATGTATTCAAGACATATTACAAAATGTCTTTTTAGGTTTTTCTAACAGTGGAGCTCTCCTGATTTGTCCTTTGAGCCCACTGTCACTCGAAAAGCGATGGACAGTGCAATAAGAAAATGCTGCACCTATTTACAACTATACGAATATCAAGCTACTTGGAGATGCCGACTGACTACAAGATTAAAGACATGTGCGATACTAATTACAGAAAACAGTTTAAAATTATCTTTCATCCAATTATTTTCTAGGGGTACCAATAAATCTGTGCAGACATTTAGATTAGGTTTGTAAAGTAAGCAATCATTTGTCTTTTTTATACTTTCTTGACTTTACTCTGACACATTAAAAAGCAGGCAAGTATACACAAGACAATTTCTTTTATTTAAATGTCATCACTTTTCAGGAGGAACAAAGCATTGCTTCAATGAGCTGTAAGGGTACCAACAAATTTGCCCGCACATGATTTTAACCCTAACAGGCTAAAATAATGTACGGTAAGCAAACCAATGTACTGTATATAAACATGCAGAGAAGTCTATATACCCCATTCATTAAATTGCATAACAAAACAGATTGTAAAGAAATGTTCATAATGTGTTGCAGAAAGAAAAACAAACACTTACCTTGACAGGATGTCTATCTACAGATGGAAGAAAAAGAAAAAGAGAACAATCACACAGCTGAACACAATAGAAGTATGCAATGCAAACAGTTAGTAAACTGAATGATAAATGATCTTTAAACATTAGACGGAATGGGTTGCTTTTCCTGCTTAGTTAAACCTACTTGATCAATACCCAGGAGTTTTACAGTAAGACACTTAAAGCATGACTAAAAACTTTGTTTAAATGACTGCCAAAAGTCTGTAGTTTTAAATCACTTTGTCACGTTCCCATAAATGTCTTGGCAACACAGGTAGGTCTTGAGTTTCTCTTTTGGATCAATGAGGCCAACTAGTGAACTTTTGTCTACTTGTAGCATTCTTGAGCACATGCCAAATTTGATCGTATGCTCTACACACCGTTATGACTAAACTTTTCAAAGGAACCTGCCAACTATGAATTTGCACTAATCTTATTTATACAAGAACCTGTAGAAAGAAGGACCATAAAACTATTCAAACTATTCTGTCCTGTAAGCAATCCTGCCAATGTTTATGTAAGCTTGTAATGTAATGTTCTATGTATTACAAACGTACAATATCAGGATAATTCTCTCAGCTGGGGATATTTCCTAGGACTTCCTTCTCTCACAGATATGTAGAAACAATAAAAGTAGGGATGCACTGGAAGCATATCAGCTGAAAATGGAAATTTGGGGAAAATGCAGAAAGTACAATTTTTCAGCTGAAAACCTCAACTCAGGAAAAGTTTTTAGTATGGACCATTATTTCCTAAACCCTGTGAAACTTGCAAATATCTTTTTATTTTTAAATACCTAGTTTTTGATTAAAGTTCCTTTGTAAAGTCAATGACCTCTTTTGCAAACGGAAAGTGCAGCTATGACCAATCACTCTGACAAGGTATCAGCGAAGTGCCAATGCCACTTCTGGCGTTGCTGGAACAAACTAGTTACCATTGTGCAATGTAAATTATAGTCATCAACAGGTGAGAATGGTACGGACAGACCAGAAGTCTCCTGGCCTGTCATTTAAATTCGACCATGCAAATGGGTGGGATAGACACAGGGCAGTTAACCCAGGAAAGGAGGCATCAGTCTTACAAACAGGTAATAAGGAACATCAAGGCCTCTTTTACCAGGTTCCTGGAAACAATTTTACTGTGGCTGAAGCATTGCAAAAGACAATCATATCTTAGGTAGGTATGAAATGTCATTTCTAAAGCTGCTGAAAGGCTTCTGCCAGGAGTTTAGCTTTAATGTGTACCTAATGGAGGCATTTTATCCATTTACTTCCTCTGTTTAGGAAGGCAAAAGAATGGAAAAGTAGCTCTATAATCAAGCATGATTTACAGCTCCATACTGAAAGTATACAGTTACTGAAGTCTGAAACATGCAGTTATGTGGCTATAGAAACTTCTATGGAACGGCAAATAATGAATACATATCTGGGACCTGTCTCACAAAGGAACATGCTCCATATATTGTACTAAAAACAGCCTCTCTTACATATCAGCCACCAAACTATTGCTGTTAAAAAACTTAAAATAAAAAGGGGTAGATTATGTAACCTCTCCAACCACTACTTTGGGCTCTCTTACTAAAACCAATATTATGTATATCATTCCATCTTATTTTTCCATAGCATGGTGGCCCACAGTGTTCAGTATGGATTTTCAGGATAATTTACCACTTGGACCAATAATTCTCTCAGTACTGTAGAAGCAGAACGGCAGCAACTATCATGGGTAGCAGCGACTGACGAAGTTGAACTTGAGCATAACAAAAACAAGAAAATCTGCTACATGACTAAATAAAAATACATAAACTTACTCGGCTGTCTTTCCTGTTGGTGCTGTCATCTGTGTCCGACGCATGCTCTTGGTCATTTTCATCACTCTGAGAGAAAAAAAAAAATGGGAAAAATACAACATATGAAAACAATCTTACAAACATTTGTTAGTTGGCTTTAAATCCAACAAGCTGTAGATTTGTGAAAATATATAAGGTTTGTTATTTGTAGGATAAAAATTAAATCATTCCAGCTGATGCACTAGATTTGAAACAGAAGTACACCACTGTCAAATAAGAGTTTACATTGAAATGGCTGCTTTCCTTCAGTGCCCAAAAGCCTCCAAGCAGGTTAATAAACAGAGGTGGGTAGAACCTGTATCCCTTAACAGACTCCAAGAAAAGGATTTTTACAAAAATTGTTTTCCTTCACATCCACTGAAGGACACAGGAAACCTTTCACCTTCAGGATGTCCAAAAGCAATTCAAATGAGGGGGGCAGGCAACACAGCAAATTGTCTACATGGCAAAGAAAAAAAACACACAAAACAAACTGGGGACTGTCTGCAGCATAAAGAGCCACCTAATGGATCTTACACCTTAAGCTAGCATCAGATGAAGCCAAAACTTCAACCTGGTAGAACAGAATATGTTAGAAGAATAGGAGGCAGCCTTGCAAATCTGGAAAAAAAACACAACAGTTGCTGATGTAAAAAAGCCCAGGTATCATTTACAGATCTAGTAGTGGTGTGTGCCTTAAAAGGGGAAGGGGGTTCAAGCCTTGAGACCATAAAATGAGATGATCTGCCTGAGCCACCAAAGGGTGAAACATTAAGCTGGTGCACCCTTATGGGGGTCCATCCGGGATGACAAAAAGGAATTTGTCTTCCTGAAAAAGGTAGCAGCCAATAGACTCTCGTGGGATGAACCACATCCAGACGATGGAGGTAAAACTGGAGCCAGACAGAGTAATAGACAATAATGTAAGGTAGAAACTACCTTGGGCAAGAAAGATGTTCTGGGCCTCAACACTACCTCTTCGCTATGCAAAACCAGAAGTGTTCCTTGCAGGGTAAGCCTGCAAAGTTCAGACACCTGCCTCCCAGAAGTGAGGACTACCAGGTAAACTACCTTGTGGGTAAGAGAAAAGAAGAGAATGTCTCTAATGGGTTCAAATGTCAGTTTCTAAAGTCACAAGGAAATACATAGGGAGATACATAAGAGCACCTGTATAAAGGTCTTAATCAGAGTGAGAAGCCAATGGTCTCTGAAACAGTATAGAAGAAATGTTACTTTTGAGGGAGTCCAAATACTGATCCAGATGCAGCTACAGGAAGGTTGGAGAAACTCCTAGGGACCTCATCTCGAGACCCACACCTAGTGAAGAAAGCCTTCCATGTTTAATAATAGGCCTTGAGAGAAGTAGACTTCCTAGATTTTAGCATCGTAGGAATCACAGACTCAGATGCCACTCTGCCTCAGTACCTGGGCTTCAACAGCCATTAAAGCCTGGGAGTGGCAAATTAAAGCTGGATGGCAAATTAGTCTTTGGCACAAAGAATCCAGATGATCTGGCAGAGCCAGTGCTGGTAATGCGTGGCCATAGACGCTAGTAAGTCTCCTTAAGGAAGAGAGGCGATAACAGATTTGGTGGATTCCATTCAGAATTTCTGAGTTAATATTAAGATATTCAGAGACTTATGATTCAAGATAGGGCAGATACCCCCTTTGGGTTTGGTGACGATGAACAGAGATCAAAACTTTATATTTACACTTACATCTTGGGGCAAAAAGGAAACACCTGTAGAACGTCTCTTTTCTCTTGGCCGCCGCCTTTCTCGTATTGATTTTGACTGAGATCTGTCTTCGGATTCTTTTTCCTCCTCTTTCCTTTCATCTGAAGAACAAAACTATTGTGAATATAATGGTGCCTGCTAAGATTTTATGAAGACAGATTTAACAGTAAAAGGCATAGGGCAGCCCCACACTACTATTTGACTACAAGCTGGTATTACACAGTTCACGTTTTATGTGACAATAAATGGATATAAAGGTAACATTATATGGTTGATCTGTAACGACAAAGCTCAGACCATAAAACCTGCTAAAATACCAAATAAGCCAGAAGTCTAGCTATTAAAATTAATTGTGTATGTATTAAATTACATGAAATGTACTTTCTGTAGAAAAAATAAAAGCTAAAACATTTCAAGGAGCCAAAATTGTGTTTTCTGCATAGATGGTAGTCTAGAGCAAACCTCCAAAGCCAGACAATATCTGGGTGCCGGCGTAATCTTTAACTGAGAATATTGCTTAGCTCGTAGCCAATAAAGACCTGTACTCTGTGTAATACATAAGACAATTGATTAAGCAATAGCCAGCGATATTACAAAAGAACGTACAATTACCTTTTTCTGGCTCTTTTGAAGTAAGCCTTGAGAAGTTGGAGTATGAAGATGAGAGACTAGTTAGGCTGCTTGGTCTGTTTAACTGACTTGAAGTATATAAAGAGCTAGTAGATGAAGAAAGTGATGGCGTGGATGACGATGTGACCGCAGCACTGGATAACAGCTTGTACCTCTGGAAAATTCCAAAGAAAAATACAAGAAACATGAATTGGGTGTAATTCCTAACACCATCACTACTTCTGCTACCACTAACAAGACTTTTTAGTGATAACCGCTAACAATCACAATATACATGGCCCAAGACCAATAGCCTATCTGTATCTTTAAAAATTAACAGATTTCTCCATCCAAACTAAACAGCCCGCCGGCTGTCAAAATAACCGACTGGTGCCTGAATCTGACTGTATGCAGACTGTGTTCAGCCAAATATTTTCCACCCCAGCTCTTCGATTTTCCATTAACCACTTGCTGACCGGGGTGTTTACACCCCCTTCCTGTCCAGGCCATTTTTCAGTGTTCAGCGCTGCGGTACTTTGACTGACATGCAATGCTGTACTGAAATGAATTTTATAACATTCTTTGGGGACAGATAGAGCTTTATTTTGGTGGTATTTAATCACCACTACGGGGTTTTTTTTTTACTATATAATGAAAAAAGTACAGAAAATGTTGGAAAAAAAAAACCTGTTTTCCCTACGTTATGTTCTAAAACATTTATTACCCAATTTTTTGGTAAAATATAAAAAATACGGAGTCACGTCGGTTAAGTAGACACCAAACACGTCAAGCTTTAAAATTGCGCGCACCTGCTACATCGCAAAAAACTACCATACTCGAAATTGACCACAGACTCTTTAAAAGCTTTTACCGCTCATCAGTTTAGTGTTATCAGTGATTGATGGCCCTAGAATTATTGCTCTCACTCGACGTTCGCGGCGATATGTAACATGTGCGGCGCAACAGATGTAATCGTCGTTTTCGCACGTAGGCGGACTCGACGCATGTTTGCGTGTGGGGGCGGGGGACGTTAATTTTTATTTTTTTATTGCTTTGATATGTGACTTAATTTTTTTTGTAACTAATTTTTTTTAAACCTTTATTTTTCACTGAACTTTATTGCTATCACAAAGGTAGCAAACAAGCTCCCTATGTGATAGCCTATTTGCAGTGACAGGTCCTCTTTATGGAGACCTGCTTCACCAGCTTCTCTCCGGTTTCTGTACCGGAGAGTGACAGAGGAATGCAGGCAGTGATGTCATACACATCACTGCCTGCATTCCTAAGAGGAGGAGATCAAACGGAGCTCGTGTACTGAGCTCCGTTTGATCTCCAGCCGCAGAGCTGCTGTGCTGGTTCCGGGCTCACACCGGGCACAGCAGAGCTCGGGATCGGCAGCTGGGCGGAGGGGGGCCCCACACCCGCACGTATATTACAAGCGATCGGGCGTCTCTACAGACGCCCGAACGCTTGTATGCAAACAGCCATCGCTGGCTGTTTACATTCAAAGCCGTCTAATGACGCCCACCCGCTCTCAAGAAGCAGCTGTCCGGCCGTTTAATTACAACGGCCGGACAGCAGGTGGTTAAAGAATGTCAGACATGGCCACCCACTTGAACGCATTTTAGCAGATCAAGAACTGTCCTAAATGTCGCTCAATGTATGGTCAATTTAAGGATGACTACACTGGCCTTTAATAAGAGATGATCCTCACCTGATCCAATCGATTTGGTTGGGTTGGAGGACAGACTCATGTCTATAGCAGCAGCACTCATCCCCAAGCCAGCTGTTCTCAGGGAAAAATGTGATCTGAACACCTTTAAAATCTAAGTCTGATCAATGCTCTTTTCCATCCCACAATAAAATGGTGTCAGGAGTTACCTGCGTATGCTCTATTCCAATCTCCATATACATAAACTTGTATGCTTAGCCGATTCAGACACAGACATTATCTGAAGGCCCTGTCCTGTCTGTTAGCTAGCTATCCGTATAAAAATGTAAGCTTGTTGTGTGAATCCGCTCACATTTGTCTATGGCCACTTTTTATTGTAAAATAATTTCCCACATCGATTACTGCTGCTTCTGTAAGGACCAACACACAAATTTCTGAGAAGCAGTCAGTCGTCATTATAAAGCTGTATAAAAAGACGTAATATATTTGACCACAACTGTACATACCTCATCCGCGCTGCGGGAGAATCTGTACCGGTAATCGTCATTTCTATTTTCCAAATCTTTTTTTTCTTCTTGTTTTTCTTTGTCTTGTTTTTCTTCACTTTCCTGATCTTTAGTTTGAGTAGGGCGAGTTCTGCCAATTGTTTTCTCTGCTTCTTGAAGATCCGTTAATGTCACTCCCTAACAAATAAACAAAATACTGTAAAATAATTTAACTCTATTGCTTTAAAGCATCACCTGAAGATGGTACACAACCTCTTCCAAGTCCTGAAACCAGCAGTAACAACTTCTAACATCTAGCACTGCATTCTGGGTCACAGACCTTTATATACTGAACACATAAAATGAACAGGTATCAATTTTACCTTCTAGTCAGAAATCCACAAAATCCCCCCAAACTTCACTCATGTATCAAAGGGTGTGGAATACAAATTGTCTGTTACCCCATGCCTGCCAATCAGATTCAATCCTGCACTGAAAAATTACAACTGGAGAATGAAAAGTTGAATTTGATTTATTAATGTGAAGTAGTTCAAATTGTTTGCTTCACTCAAAATATCCTCCAACCTGGCAGCAATAATGACAATGAAATCAGCGCAAACTATTTGCAATGATTTTGGTGGAAGATACAGAAGCTATATTCAAGAAATATTAGTTAGCTTTATTGAATGTAGTGAATTACAGAATAATTTCTGAAAAATAATTTTCCATTGAGAGAGCTGAAGACTGTATGAAGCCTGAGCCCTTTGCTGATATCAGTGCCTGAAGACAGACTGGTTGCAGCTGTAGAGAACTGGTCAGTCTCAATGGTATCCATCCACATCTTAACATAGCTGCTCAAATGATACACAGCCAAGATGTGGAAATAAAACAAAAGTCAACCCGTGTGTGAGTTTTCATAGACATATATTTCTAGTGTGCGTTTGTGTTTTAAAGGCTTCAATACATAAAACCTTAATGAACAAACTCCACACAACATCATAAAAACATACCTGTGTTGATCTTCTGGACTGCCTGGCCTGTCTGGATCTTGCTTTTCTCTGGGATTCAGATTCTTCATCCCGAACTGGAGTGAGGTATGACCTGAAAACGAAATCATGCATGAGTTTTACAGGTACATATATTAAATTGTCGTTTGCTTTGCCCATGCAGATATGTTTAAACTGCTGCCTTCCCCAGCTGCATATATCTTTTGTTTGTTCCCCTGCAGGGAGTTAATAGACATTACTGGTACTTGTGGTTACAGGGAGCATGTGATAGCTATGGTCTTTGAATGTTTAGGTACCCAGTGTTGTCATACGGGGCAGAGTCCTGTATAAGCTTTCAATTGGAGTATACAAAAAAGGGACAGGGGCATACAGTCACTCCAGGTGGTTGAATGGAGTGGCAAAGGAACTAAACAGTATGTGCAGCTGGGAAAAACAACCCTTTTCCTTTGCCCTGCATGGCCAAAGAACATGTTCGCTGTCTGTTACATGTCACGGCACAAAGATATTTTTGGTAATTTACTTTTCTACAATTTACAATAGCAAAAACGTCTGGAGAAACTAAATCTAAATATGCAGTATTGGAGATTTAAAAAAAAAAAGTCAATGTGCATACATTTTAGAACATTACATAAGCAGAAAAGAGCATCTCAAAAGAAGTGCTAAACACAAAAATCAAGAGTAAAGTTGTACATACCTGCGTCTCTCCCTGACCTCTGTTGTGGAAGGAACAGTGCCAGAGGAAGTTGTGGTCATAGATGTGAATGTAGTAACGGGATTTACAACTGTTGGGGCAACTGGAATGGTGACTGCTGTAGGGACAGGTTCCTTCTCTTTTTCAGAACTCTCCACTGCCCAGAAACGGTTTGAGGTACTATAACGTGAGCACCAAACAAAGATGATACAAAGAAGGTCAATTTCAGAAGGCATTTAACTCACACGAAAGGAAATGGTTCAACACTCTACTCTAAAAATTCAGAGAAAGCTGGGCTATATGGTAGTCAGATTGGCCGATGAAAGATGGGAGGTGATGATAGTATGGCTTAAAATTCAGCAACTTGACCACTGAACTCTGCCTTCCACTTACTCCAGTATCCCCTGGCACTCTGCCTTCCACTTACTCCTAGATCCCCTGGCACTCTGCCTTCCACTTACTCCAGAAGTCTTCATACCTTCCTAAATTTTTAAATGTGCCTTGCTAGGTTACCTCTTAAAAATGAAATCATGCTGCACCATGGCAAGCTTTGATCTTTTTCACGTTCACTTTCCAAGGTTGCCCACCCCTGATTTAGAGCAAAAAAATCAAGTCTTATCAGACCAATACCAAGTTTTAGAGGTTTACTCTTTAGCGGTGTCGCATTTTCAGGAAACCCATCGTGCATTGGGAGGCCTTTGTCATGTATTACATTTTTTTGCACAACAAAGAAAGTTTACATATGGTTAACAATATAACACCATCAGTTAAAAAATGTCTAAAAGATCTAAATAAGAATGCTTAAACATTGCTTTTAACAAAACCCCCTCCAAATTCTGAAGAAAGAAGATATGAGAAAATGCTGGTAAGACATGACCTACGTATCACTTGCATTCCGCTAATATTTTTTAATTAAATGACAGATATGCAAGTAATGAAGAGTATTCAGTAAAAAATACTTTTTGTACTTAAGCACATAATAATCAGGGAATGGAATAAACTGAACTAAAATGAATTCAACAAGAACAGAAAGAAAAATCAGATTTTAGGAATACCTGCTTGATAAGCCTAAAGAAGCCGGTGTGCTTCTTGCATTACTAATAGTGCTAGAAAGACTTCTTGTAAGCCCAGAAGATGTGACCGTTGGTGTAGAACCTGATGTTGAACCGGAAACACCGGAACCAATAAGTTCATCTTGCCGTCTACCAAAAGAGCCACTAAAAAGGGATATACATAAGACACAAAGATCTTAATAAAGCACACCTGTAAGCAAATGTGTATATTATGCACTGAAGTTGATGCAGTAAAGAAATGGAGAGTTGTAAAACTCGTCCCGTATGCAAAGTGAAAGTTGATATCCATCACCGATAAGTGCATATGTAATTGATGCCTTGGTCTCTGCCAGAGAATCTTATAGACTGATGTACTCAGGCAGAGCGAACTGGCAGTATTGGCCTTTGAATAGAACCGGTTAAAGGTGCCTATTCAAGGACCAAATAAAAAACAGTAGGTTTGGCTGTTTTAGAACAACCCTATTACTATAATAATAACAAAGCATAATTGCATAAAAGCAACTCAGGCTGAACGATAAAATGATCAGCCTGACTTGGAAAGAAAACAGCCACAATGGTACAACGACTACTTCTGTCAATACAAGTTGTAAATAACCCCCAGCATTGGTGCCAGTGGATGCAATAAAAAAACCTTCAACATTAGGTGTCAGTGACCACAATAGCACACCCTAGCTTTGGTGTTAGTGAATGCAATAATCCCCAGCTTTGGTATCAACGACCATAATAACCCACCAGCATTGATGTAAGTGGACCCAATAAAAGAAATAAAAAAATGGTGTAAGTTACCACAATAATAATCTCTAGCATTGGTGTCAGTACTTGCAAAACAAAAACAAAAACACAACCCCAGGTACTAGTGTTAGTGACAGCAAAAATAACAATCCCTAATCCTTAATCCCTAGTACTGGTTGTCAGCGACTGCAAAAATCACCCCTAGCACAGGTGTCAATGCCAGCGCTGTTAACCAGTTGACATCCACGGTGTTAAACCCCCTTCCCATCCAGGCCATTTTTCCGTATTCAGCGCTGCGGTACTTTGACATTTATTCCGTCATGCAACGCTGTACTGAAATGAATATTATACCCTTTTTTGACGACAGATTGAGCTTTCTTTTGGTGGTATTTATTCACCACTGGGGTTTTTATTTTTTTACTATATTAAGGAAAAATTACCGAAATTTAAAAAAACAAAAAACAGTTTCCCCTATATTAAATGATAAAACATTTATTATTACCCAATTTTTTGGTAAAATATAAAAGACGGGGTCACGTCGGGTAAAAAGACACCAAACATGTTAAGCCTTAAAATTGCATGCGCGCGCGAAACCTCAAAAAAACAATAATACCCAAAATTGGCCATAGGCGACGCTTTAAAAGCTGTTACCGCTCATCAGTTTAGTGCCATCAGTGATTGATGGCCCTAAAACGATAACTCTCACTGCAACGTTCGCGGCGATATGTAACATGTGTAGCGCAATTGCAATTTTTGCGCGCTGGGGCATCGGGCGCGTATTTACGCTTATATGTGCGTAAACGTGGGGGTGGGGGTGGGGGAGTTTAACATTTTGGGGGTTTTTTCCTTTTTTTATATGCGACTTATTTTATTTTACTTTTTTATATGTTACTTTTATTTTTTTTTAACGGACGGCAAGTGGTTAAACCTTCCCTTGCACTGGTGGCTCAGTAGCAGTGATATAGAACCACCTCTCCCCCCCACTTGTGGTCAGTGCAGATGCAAATTTATTCTTACCTGATCACATGCTCCCACCCAGCTCTCTCCTATATGAGGCTGGGACTGTTTGTTTGTAATGTCAGGCAGAGATCTCTTCGCCTGACGGTACTACCTTTACTTCAGTGCTGGGTCCTGAAACCCTGGGGGTGCTTCAAAGCCCAGCATCTTACTGCAACTCTGTAAAGTCTATAGGGGGCAGACTAAGCCCTGGACAAGGCAGGCCACATACACACAGGTAGCCGTCAGCCTGTGTTGAGCACCAGGGGGTATATAAAGATCGACCTCTAACTGTTATAATATTTTTACCTTCGTTGATAGGCTGTACTTAAAATCTCATTCACAGGACTATTTTTCTTTTCATCTTCCCATTTTCTCCTTGTATAGGAACTACCAATACGTGAAAAACCGACAGATGATTCCCTGTACAATGAAAGAATTTGTGATTCACAATGAATTATTATAAACAGCTGTTATTTCTATATGAAAAAAATGCTAGGATCCTTTTTGCCCCCTATCCCTACTTAAGGATTGGGGTTTAAGATGCAAGTATTAGTAACTTGAACATAAAAGCTGTTATAATTGTGCATTCACTCCCATTCAATTATAATCTATATTCATTATCAGAGGTGGTGTAACTGTACAGCTTGATGCTCCATGCAAAACAATGACATGTAGTAAAACCCACACACTAATGCACAAAAGCCCAATACTGCACTAATAGATGACTGCTCACAATATTGCTTCTTTATAAACCACTTCAGAGCAAATTCAATATCTTGTAAGAAACCTGCAACATTATGTAATATGAGCTCAAATCCTTCAGGTGCGTTCTGCACGTTTTATTGAAAACATAATAGAAATGTATTTTTTTAATGTGGCATGGAAACTAAAAATTTCATCATGACACCTACACACTCGCTAGGTAATGGCAGGTTCTTTTCAGTTTGAAAACTGTAATAAATTAAATTAAAATCCACAACATTTAAAAGGTTTGAATCTGCTAATCTAAATGATACTGTTGAATGAAAAAGAGGCAAGGCCTTATGGTGTTTTCCTGCTTTGCAAGTTTAAAGTACAACACTGCTCACGACGTAGAAAAAAGGAAATGACTGTTGCAAACAATTTCTTCCTTCTAAATAGGAGATATTTCCATTAAAGGAGAACTATGGGGTTAAGGCTTTTCCCCATAGTTCTCCTTAGGGTAACGGGAGGACACAAACTGGCGTCCTCCCGTCACCCTAGGCTCAGTGTACCGCGAGCTGTAGCTCGCGGTATACTGAGACGCCGCAGTATACCACAAGCAATACTGAGACACCGTGGCTGAAACGGAACCCGACAATTATGTCTGGATCCACCCAGCTGCGTGACTGACAGCTGGCTCTGCCTATCTAGAGGCAGAGCCAGCTGTACTCGCCCCCTCCCCCGTCCGTTGCGCCAGTCAGCGCTGACGGATCGGAGGGAATCCAGCCCCTCCCCCTGTCACGGCAGAGAGCCTTGACAGGATCGAGAGGTGAGCAAACGCCGCTATGTGTTCGCTCACCTCCCAATCTACTGAGACGACCTGTGACGGTCTCATTGTCACAGGTCGGCTAGAACTATGAGGTGAGTGAAAAGCACTCACCTCATAGTTCTCCTTTAAGTTATCTATAGGTCAGCGAAACTGAGACCTACAGCGTACACTACCTAACAGCAATTTACCAAGCAGGTAGATACAAGGCCGGCCCCAGCTGGTTTTTCCCTAGGGATAGATTGGTTACTAGGATTCAGCAACTATCAGCTGTTTTTGGTTGTGCTAGTAATAGGTTTAAGAATGATACACAGAGCCTAGACTAACACTACATCCATGCATTAGTGTTTGCAAAGTACAATATTTGATATCATGTACAAAGAATTGTGGAAACCTATACAGGCATTGACCTGAAGTTATATTTTGCGTACTGCTAGATCTCCAAATAATTTTCCTTTGCACTGAAAGCAGAATGCAAAAAAGCATGTTCCTGGAAATCAAACAGTGAAAAAGCAAAATTACATTTTGGGTCAATTGCAATATTTTTTAACTTTACACAAACACGGTTTCCACTGTAGATCAATTAATGTGCATGTCATGGTATCATCCAAATCTACCAAACTTCTCTCTTCCCTTCTAGACCATTTCTTATTTTTTACCTTGCTTCCTGTAGTAACAAACAGCTTTAATTAGTCCATGTGACATCACTAGGCTTGTAAAATTCTTGCAGGGGCAGCTAGTGGGAGGTCAGCTCCTCCTGACATAGGCACACCCCCAGAACTACATCTCCCAAGAGCCTTTTCCCCACACACAATGTGTGAGCAGACTCTTGGGAAACAAGGGAGAGGCATTGTTTTGCTGGAAAAAAACAAACAAAAAACAAAATATATGTATGTGGAGTGGGATAGAGAAGGGAGTTCTGCAGTCTCACAGACGGGGATGACAATGTAGTTCGGGGAATTCAGTGCAGCAAAAGTACTATGTTGTCAGCCAGGAGCTTAGGAGTACACTGGATTTCTGGCAGGCCAACAGGTATTATTTTGTACTTGCTGAAATTTTAAAATAAGTAAATGTGCATGTATTTAAAAAAAAGATTTGCGTTTTTTTCTTCTCCCCGACATACACTTTTCCCCCCCAATCAATGGCACACATTACCTATTTTCCTTTTCTTCTATGTCAGAAGTACTTGCAAGGCGCCTAGGTATTGTTGGAGCTACATATGCAAGCCGTGTCCCTCTACCATCTTTCTCCTGAAAAACCAAAGCAAAACCTTAGGTTAATGACTCGCTAAGTGGTAAATCAAGGACCAAGCTGTAGGCGTAGCTCAAACACCTCTAAAATCAAAAAAGCCAATGGAAGCTCCCATATTTATATCCTAACAGCTGCACCAACAGAGATAGTTTGTATTTTTGCTTTGAGCTCCGCTTTATAGTTATAAGGGCCCGTTCACACCAGATGCAGTGCGTTCAGGCCCGATTCTGGCCAGAACGCACTGCCTCGCATTGCGGCCGGCTCACTTTTTTGTGGGGCAGGAGAGGGCGTGGCAGGCAGTTGAAGTGAATGGCACCGTACCCACACCCTCCGGCCACAACGCGATTGGCTGCACGGCATGGCAAGGCACATTATGCGTGCGGTCCGGTGTGATCAAATGCTGCAAGCACTATTTGGATTGCACCGGACCGCAGGCATAATGTGCTTTGCGATCACGTGGGGCCGGAGGGCGTGACTAGGGTGCCATTTACGTCAATGGCCCGCCACGCCCCCTCCTGCCCCACAAAAACGTGAGCCGGACGCAATGCGAGGCAGTGAGTTCTGGCCAGAATTAGGCCGGAACGCACTGCATCTGGTGTGAACAGGCCCTAAATCAAAATGTCGACTGAGAATTTTCCTAAAATGTCTTGTATGTGCTTTGTAATGCAAGTCTCTCAATCATAAAGGCAAACATACCTTTTCTTTATTATCTAGGGTAGAAGAAAGTCTTGGACTTGAGGCAGAACGCATGACACCAGTAAAGTCTCTTTCTTTCTGAGCTTCTTTGGCTGCAGTAATCTCAGACAAGGCACCATAACTTCCTGTTTTACGAAGTCCTAGGCGCCATGATGCTGGAGACTCGTCTCTCCTTTCTTCTTCTTTAGGTGATATTTTGGTGGCTGGAGTAGGTAACTGCAATACAGAACAGTGCAGATGTGTTTTTGCTGCTTATGTTGTTCCAATGAAACCCAACACCAAAGCAATCAACTAGATTTGCAAAGGCATTTGATAATTTGCTGCAGGTTCTTCGATGGTCACTTAATTCAGGCTTACACAATTGAATAATCTTAGAGTATAGAGGTTCATGATTTTAAAAAACCCAAGTGTGAATCTAAATGGGGTTAAAACATCACTGGAAACAAAATCTACACACAGGAAAACTTGTTAATAAAATAAAAAAAAATAACAGAAAACACCCACTGTTGAAACCAATTTACCACTTTCATTGTTAGGCAAATCATTATGAGCAGCACTTATCACCAATAAAAGATTAAAACATAGTTAAAGTCAAAACCATGCACAGTGAGGTAAATCTGATTATATATGTTGCAACCTGGAACCACAGAGAAGTGCGCACGCTATTCCTCACCATAGACTTGTCACCTTTATTTGGCACAAGGACTATGCCAGTTTTGCGCAAGCCCTGTCTCCATGAAGTAGGATGTGCTGACTCCACCACTGGTGTGAAAGGGGCAATGAAATCAAACTAAACCCAGAATAGGCAAGACAGAATAAGATGGAAAGTAAAGAATGAAAAACCGAAATAGACCAGTGTCCATCATAGTTTATAACTATCCACATCTTTGAAAGCACCATATTTAAGATACTTAGCAAAACCATTAAGACAGAAGATGCAAATTACGCCATCTATAAGTTAAGGAAAAATGGCTTTACATGCACTTTTATACCAAATTCAACAGTCTGAAAAACAAAAATCTTCCTACTGGGTAGCCCAAGGTTCAAACAGCCAGACCTTTTCGGTTATTAAATATGAATGGCAATGTCTGCAATATGGCAAGATAAGAAACACCTAGGCCACTGTAGTGATAACAGAAACATTGTAAACCCATGATAAAATACATTTAAGTACTCTGAAATCACCCTAACTTCCTACTCAGTACACACTCATATGGTCTTTTTATTTCCGTTAGTTATTTGCATAATTCAACATTAAAAATGCCTTTTTTTCTCCCATTCATTAAAGGATTTATCCTATTGATGTGCTGATCTGCATGCACGTTAGATTGCCTGTGTTTGATATTACACATAATTTAAAAATCAAATCACAAAATGGTCATCTTACAGATTTTTGCTCCTACAAATCTCACTGCACCCTGGCTTCACAATAAACATAGGCTTTCAAAAGTTACTTCAGTTTATGTAGAAAAATTATTTTTGTATGCAACATTTTAATTTGCAAATTATAATAAAAACAGATGGGTATAAAACACACAGTTTTGTCAATAGATGCTAAAATGTTCTCTTTTTATGGCTTTAACAGAAGTCAAGAAAGAAGATCCGATATAATTTAAGTGAACCTTTATGCTAAGCTGGGTACACACAGTTATATTATTTTTCAGCCAGCAAGGCTGAACGAAAAACAAGACAGATTCCTCCATCTACACTAACAGAGTATGAAGGAATCTCCTGCTGTGTATATTGTAATCAGACAGCAGCACCAACCACAGTCAGAATAACCGAACAGTACTTGCAATGTTCGCTCGATGATTTCTCAGCATGTCCCTTCGGCAAAAGTCGATCTAATGATCGACTTCTGTTAAAGGGATAAGGCCACCAACAGATCAAATGTGCTAGGTGTGTAACAAGCTTTAGTCAGGCAGGTATGCTTTTTGGCATTGTAAGAAAGCAAGTCACAATTTGGTCTAGAAAACATGACCATCTTTGAAGTCACTAATGTACGAAGAGCACTGTATCTGTAGCCTGTTTATTAGTTTTAAAAAAATGAACCGAGCAAAACTATTAAATCCCCACAAATCAATCACAAGGACTGCAGAAAAAAATGCAACCAATACATTTCTGTCGTATTTTTGTGGCGAGAGTCTAGGGCAAAGGATAGTGGAATTACAATGAAAGGGAAATGCAGGAATAGAATTCAGAGATACAAGCAGCCAATATTCCATACATGTACAATGCAATTGCTGGGATGGTGATTTGAGTGATTCTGCATTGTTAACAATATTCAAAAATGCATTTTAATAGGAGAAAGAAGAACATTCAGTAGACATACACAGCTAAATACTGCTGTATATTTACAAACTGTACTATAACCTGTTCAAATATGAAATCAAACACTTTGGGAATGAAGAAATGTACTCCTACTAAAGCTGGCCATACACCTATAGGATTTGCAGATTTTCTATGGTCAGATGGAAAAAGTGTAACAGATTCCTCCATCTACGCTAAACTGTGTGGAAGGAGGACTCTCCCAATGGGCCAAGCTTCAGTATCTTGCCAGTTGGCCCCGCTGGCTGTTAAAATACCTGAACAATCTGATTGGATGCAGGCATTGTTCAGGTATTTGGAGAGCCAGCGGGGCTGAAGAGCTAGATACTGAAGCTTGGCCCAGTGGGAGATTCCTCCATCCACATAGTTTAGCGTAGATGGAGGAATCTGTTGCACTTTTTCCATCTGACCATAGAAAATCTGCAGATAATGTATAGGTGAATAGGCAACTTTAGATGCATTAGATTGGAAGGGGGGGGGGGTATCTGCAATTCTGTAAAATGTCATATGCATCTGACTTACCTTCTTTATTGGTGATGTAGGTGTGACTTGCCCAGATGCCACGGTAGAAGGTACAGTTGTTCCAGTGGTCGCTTGAGATCTAATATTTGTACTATTTGCAGACTGTTTGGCTTTATCTAAATTTGGACAGAAGTCAAGAGAAAAATGGTAAGGAAATTAAGAATATTCTGTTTTATTACAAAAGTACATAACCAGAAGAGGGCAGCATCAAATCAGAGAACACTTTTACAAGAAAATGTATGAGAGATATGAACATAGAATTGAAAATGTTTTAAAATAACCCTAGACCCCCGACAGCCAAATGGTATTAAACACTCCTTTAGAACGCCATCACAAACTGAAAAATATGGAGATGAATGATAGAAGGATGTCTGTGGATGAAACTAAGAGCAAAGTAAAGTCACTGCTTGCAGTCCAACTGATAGTGCTGAGGATAGGAACAGAGGTCAACAATACAGGAGAAGTGCACTTACTAAAACCAATAGGTATTGGAATAATTAGACTAAGCTAAAATTTGGGATTGCCTCTCCCTTATTCAGTTACTATGGTCAGGACAACAAATAGAGGGGTGATTTCACAGCAGAGACACAAACTGCAACCCCAAATGTGGTTCCAGCCTTCCCTTATACTTAATGAAAGAATTTTTGTTGGATATTTACTCTTCATTTTCTGTCAAGTAAAACATTGTCAGCAAGAAATATCTCTGAGGCCTGGAGAAGTAAAAACCAGCCTGGAATTCTTATCCTCACCTATTTTAAATCTAAATAAAACGTTTTGGCTGGACATACGCTATGTTTGCTTCAAAGCATGTTGGATTTATGGTTTTATGGGTGTGCACCCATAAAACCATAAAGCTGTAGTCACCGTTTGGGTATTCTGACAGCTGTAGGCACCGACTGTCGGAATATGATAGCTGGCAGTGGAGATTCCACCATGCACGCTCTTTAGCATGGATGGGGAAATCAAACAATTCCTATTTTTCGTTAAATTTAAAAAAAAATTATCTTCTTTTGTGGTCAGGCAGATAAGGAAAGTCCCAAAAATTCACAGGAGCCTGTACACCAAAAGATAAGGAATATCATTTATATTTTATTGTCAATGCATCTGCATATGCTCCCTGACCAAGTTCGCTAATTTCTGAACTCTAAAACTTCTAATTATATTATTGGGAGGACAAGTTATCAAAATGAACTTTTAATGCCACTGATCGTCAACAAAAATTGTGACCAGTATAAAACCATTACAAAACTTTCACTGAAAGGAAGGTTGAAGGCCTAGACCAGGGGTCTAAAACACAATTCACTTGGGGGCAATGTACACATTTTTCTTCTCCCCTGGGGGTTACTTGCAAAATGTAATAAAATTAACATACTTTAAAATAAAATTTAGCTATATACAGCACCAGTATTCATGTCTATGTGTGTTTATAATGCTATTCTATGTTTGTGATGGTTTCTTTGTATGCAATGTCAGGATTTCTGAGTGTAATGTCTGTTTTTGTGTGTCATATCAGTATGTATATGTGGGTATATATGTGCAGAGAGAGAAAAAGAGGAGGAGAAAGGGAAAAGGAGGAGGAGGAAGGGAAAAAGGAGGAGGAGGAAGGGAAAAAGGAGGAGGAGGAAGGGAAAAAGGAGGAGGAGGAAGGGAAAAAGGAGGAGGAGGAAGGGAAGTCATGTCACCAGAAGTCTTCTAATCAATTGTATACATTTCACGTGTCAAATATAGTCCAAAAAAAAGTTACTGCGTTTGTGAATATTGCTGCTTACTGGAAAACAAGATGATCACACTCATCAAATGAAACATGTTTCTATGTACTAACCTGTTTCTGCTTCAGATTCAGAGTCTTCTTCCTCCTCCTCTTCACTAGAACAGCTAGACTCATCTTTCTTTCCTTCATCTTCCTCATCGGCCTTTTCTTGTTCAAGAGACTCAATAGTTGAAAGGTTCTTCTCTTGCTCAATAATTAAAGTATCTCTGTTAAATCGAGGGTAAAGTTACTTTTAGAAACCAACAAAAAAGTGCTTATGTCCCAGAGCCCTTACCCACTGAGCACAGAGTTATAGCTGCCAGGAGCTGCTGTAAGTTTGACAGCTGAGGTCATATTTGTGCAGCAGAAACTAGTAACTCAGTGGTCTACTCATAACATCACTATATACTCAACACTACACTGTTTACTCCAAATTGTCTGCATTTTATGCCTGCGGACAGAGGTGAGGAATCTCCAGTATCCAGAGTGTTCCCTGCATAATACTGCAGAGAAAATTCTGTGATTGAAGGAGACTCACATGGGTTGGACAGAGCAAGTGACTTGGCTCTCCTCCTCTGGCAGCTATACCCCCTATTCAATCATAAGCAAAAGACATTAGGTTTAGTAAAGGCCAAAACCCTATGTAGACATGTATTCATTTTAAATTAACTGAACTTTCTATCACATATTAAGGAAATCACTTTCCAAAACTGTATACCAACAGCTATAAAGAATGCAATGTCAGAGTGTTTATTTGATGCAAAAACATAAAAAAAAAAAAAAGAAGAAGGTGGACAAATGGGCTGTATACCGTATTACCTGTACTGTAGAGTAGACTACCAGTGGTTCATGTGAACTTTTTTTTCTTCTTTGGGCCTCCCTATATCAACTGTCCAATTTTAATTTTTTTTATCTTATGAAATCTTTTAGGTCTTTTCTAATTAGCATAGTTTTTACTTAGGCCTCCTTTTTTAAAGCAGATACATCTTATCAAAAGGTAGATGGCTGTTAAGTCATGCATATATACACTACACTGTCACGCAAGGAGTCATATCTAAAAAGGTAAAGATACATACATTTGTATTTTTTTTTTTTTTTTATAAATACAGTTCACTATTTTAAAGCCACATGCTATGAAAGCTCTTCTGGTTATCGGACAATTTCTTACAGGTTAACAAAATTGCATATGCAAAAGTATAAATATCAAAATTGTAATACATACTTTTTCAGTGTTTTTATTGGCTGGTTGTTTTCGGTAGTAGAAGACTCGATTAATGGAGACTTATCTTGTTTTTCACTCAAAAGCTACAAAAAGACAACGATAGTCATGAATAAACATGCAAGATAATTGCCAATAAACATGACTGACAATAGCAGCTTATATGTTATACTTCAACAGAGTCCCATATCGAGACAAAAAAAATAAAACAAAAAAAAGGCACCATAAATGGTATTCGAATATAGATATTAAAAAAAGTATTCTATTACAAAAGATACATTTGTAGGTTCTATTTAAAACTTTGCTTTCAAGTTAAAGACTACTGTATATTCACACAGCAAAAAACAAGCTGAAAAGAGTAACAATTGTATATGCAAAGTAGGCCCCCGAGTTATGCCAGGGCAGAAAAAACACTGGTGGCAAGACTGTGGGATTGCGTGTTAAAAGTTGCTCTTTCACTAAAAATCATACCAGCATGCATGCCGATATAAAAATCATCTTACATTCTTTAATAATTTTGATTTCATTTACAAAAAACAGTTTTCCACCTCCTGGTCCTCTTAGGCATTAGTGATGCAGCCCTTGCCCAAGATGCACCCTGGGAAGGTTGCATCACACTGCATTGCTGGGAAATCTCATCTGTAATCACAGGGAAAGACATTTTCCTCCCCAGAGATTATGTGCATGGCCACATGTCCTAGAGTTCCAGGAAGTATGGGAAGATGGATTCATCCACCCTTAGTAAAAATGGCCACTGTGAGAAGAATGGAAAGGAAAAGAAATATAAGGCATGCAAGAGATATCTAGAGTTTGTAGATTGTAATTATTAAACATTTCTAAAAGGTGCCTTTATTGACATTAAGATATAGGTAAAGTTCCTCTAACTATCAAGGAGGATACCCTGTTTTCCCTTGCAATTCCTGGAGTGGAATACTACATGAGGCACTCTCCCCTACAGAAGACCGTCTGCAACCATCCTAACTGTTTGCAGGGGTAATCTCTCTACAATCTCCTCTTTACATTTACAGGCTTTTCTCTACTACATACCAGCTCATTTCAAGACATAGTTTGGTTTGTTCTGGTCAAAAATGAGGAGGTACCTTGGGTCTACTGTAACTTTTTACTATGGTTTTCACAGTTCATCTATACAGTGTTCAAGCTATACCCCAGATTTCCTCCAACCTTCTGTCAGCGTTTTTTGTATTTAAATGCACTGCTAGTTAAAAGTTTATTCAAATTCTGCTAATGAGGAAGCATCCAAGCAGTGTCAACTGTCACAATACTGGTACCTAGATTCTGCAACTAAAACATTTCTGAATGTATGGATGAAGTGTTAGGTTATTTGTTGATCTCCATTCATTTAAACATTGGATATTATCTCTTACTCCTACACCTCTTATTTAATGCAAGTTTTGGGATCTCTGCCAAAGTTGCTATCTGGAGCTAGTGAGCAACGTTTCCCATGACGAGATTTCTCATCATCAAGTTCCTCACTTATTGGCGAGCGCATAGATTTCTTGATCATTTTATGTCTTACGTATAGGTTGAAAATAACTGTGCACACCTATAAATGATCCTTTCAATTGAAGAAAATGTTTTATTGCTAATTACTTTCATCTATAGTAATTACTTTTACTATCTTTTCAGTTTTAAATGAATTTTTAAGCTATCAGTGAAGAACAGAATTTCTAGAGCTTATACCATATAACTTCCTACAAGCACATTGATGCCACCATATCCTCACTGTTACTACAAAAAGCAACCTTTTATTCCATGAATTGCAGCACTTCTTTCATAAAAACAGACATATGGATAACTGCCTTTGTGAACTGTGCTTCACAAGGTTTTAAGTAATCATTTAAAAAAAAATAATTCCTTTATAGAACTATAGTTTAAATAAACATCTACAGAAAAAAAAAAAAGAGCACGGACCTCTGATAACTAAAGATAATGACATTTAATAAGGGCACCAATATTAGGAAGGGGATAATGCGGAATCAGGATAAAGGCCAGCACTGGATGTGACAACTCCTACATCAGTTAGTGATACGATCTGGGAGGACCAGACTTTTTCAGAGTATGGTCTTGTAAATTCTACATCTAATAAACGACACAGACTCTTGAAAAGGTTAAATTGTGGAAACTATTGTTGACAAAAATGTCAGGCATTAAAGTTCAACTTCCACTCTTAGTACTGCCTGGGAAGGGGCCTCCTTTTCCACTCCACGTTTACTGCCGACAGTAGCTTTGTCTTTGAAAGTCAGAATTAGTGAGATTAAAAAAAATATTTTCTCATTTCATTCTACTGACTGTTTACGACAGGACAACTACTACACAGAAAAACCCAGCCTTGCAATAGTGCACCATGCAAACATTTAAACGGAAATAATTGTATTGAAAGACTAAGACCATATGCAATTTGTGTTCTGAAAATGAATAGTTTGCATTTAGATTATATTAACTAAAACATAACCAACCAATTTTTGTTTCTTCTGAAGTTCTTCCAAATATCCTAAAATATCTTCATCTGCAACATCAAGTGCAGTCTGACCCTTTAAAAGAAAATAAAAACATATGGAAATAGAATTATACAGAACAGTGTTAAATGCAGTGTAAAATAACAAATGAAAATGAGATGAACAAAAATGATGGGACCCTTAACAGGTAAGTTCACCTTTTGCAAAAATTAAAGTAATGCATAATAATATTTCTTTAATATTTGCATTCAAGCCTGGAAAGCATTGCAACTGTGATCACTCGATCACGGCTGCAAAGCTCAGGCTCCTGCATATTTTCAAAATGTCAAAGCTTGTACGGAGGGAAAATTTTATCGAGGGTGAACTTATCCTTTAACTGATTTGTTTGTTGCAAGGCCTTTAGAAGCACTCAAGTGATTTCTGCAGCTCTCAATGAGACTTCTGCAACTTCCATCAGGTAGTTTGGCACTCTTCTTGTATTTTATATCATTATGCTGTTGGGAGGACCCATAACAAGCAACTGAGAAACAGAGCTTTCAGATAGTGGGGAGTATGTTTTGCTCCAGAATTCCTCAATAGCCTTTAGATTTTATTGTGCCCTGCACAGATTCAAGGCACCCCATGCCAGACAAGAAAACACTCCCCAAACATAACAGAGTCCTCCAAAGGCTCACAAGAGGTACAGTGTTTTTTTTTTTTTAAAGCTTAATAGTGAACATAGAGCTGAGCTTGCCAACAAGCGCCTGTCTCATCTGTCAAAAGGACATCCTCCCAGAAGTGCCGTGGCTTGTCAATATGCATTTTAATAATTCCAGTGTGGCTTTGTTTCCCCCTGCCCCCCAACTTTGGAGTTATCTTTTGAGTCCACTGTAGCTCAAAAAGCTAAAGGGTGCAATCAAACGTTTATGTACCTTGACCTTGGAGCTCTGCTTGCATCTTGTCATCTATTTGTACCACCCTTCTGTTTAATCTGGAGTTGATTTTCCTCTTGTGGCCACAGGAGGTTGGCTACACTACCATGGACCCTTGAATGTCTTAATACTTGCAACTTTAGTCACAGGAACATAAGACGACCTGGAAATGGTCTTATAGCCTTAACCTTTGACATGCTGATCCATATATGATCCGACATGCTGACGATTTTATGACGTATTACTGGTTTATCTTGAAAAGTCCCATGATACAATGGTGTTCTTACTAATGTTATATGTACCCCCTAAAGACCCTTAAATACAATATAAGTTTACAGAAAAACGTACTGCGCTACAATAACAAGACTCACCACTTTATTGACAGTATCCATGTCACAAAGGTTTTCTACTAGGATCCTACAAGCTTCTTCCTTGCCCCAGTGGGCAGCTGCATGAAGTGGCGTCCAACCATCATAATCTTTAACATTAATATCATAACCTGCTTGAATTAAGAGCCTACAAAAGAAAGAAAAATTAAGTCAACTAATTTTTATGGAACATCTCATCCATTTTTAAATTGAACCCAAAAATACAGAGAAAGGGCCCACATACACACACGTCAAGGAAAGGTGCTAAACTCACGTTCTGGATTTTTATTAAATGAAGTTATGACCAGAGAAATTTAATACCCGAATGGCATTGAAAGAGCCATTTGTGTTGCAACATGGCAAGTCCTGTATAGATATTATTCTGCACTATGGGTGACAATAGTAATATGGGTGCAGGAAGCTGCTGTACTAGAAGGTGCAATAGCAAATGTGTAGTATAAAAAGTGCACAGCGCTACCAATATTGTAACTACAATGTCTAAATGTCTAGAAGTCTCAAAGTGCATCCTAAAACATAGAAATATTATTTATAACGTTGCAAGTTAAAATTTCCATACAGATCTCCCCAAGAGTGTAATACAAGTGAAAATATTATATATACGAAAAATATTTAAAAGTTCAGATCCTAAAAGATCTACTCAAATCATGCGTGATACAATATTGCAATCAAGCACAGCTATCTTCCACCCTCTGAGTCTTGTACTACTCTCTACACTCAGTTTTGCTTGATTAGTCTCCGCTCATATCATCCTGCCAGATCCAACCAACAAATTGATAATAGTTGACAACTATTCTCATAATCGATTAGTTGGTTGCAACCCTACTTTACGGTCTCCATTTTGTAAAGAGCTGCACAAACTGTTGGTACCATATAAATACTGTATAATAATAAAGATTTAAAAGTGAATTTATATTAAGATTACTACATTAACCTATACAGTAATACCTCGGTTCACGAACGCTTCTGTTCAGTACAGTTTTATTTAATCCAGCATGGCTCCAAAGAAAGTGCAGAGCAAGCATGGTGGTAAAAAGAAATTGCAGAGTGGTAATGAATTTACATATGGTTCAGAACGGATTAACCTCATTTACATTGAACCCTATCGGAAAACGTGATTCTGTTCGCGACCAAAATCGGTTTGCGATCACGTGGGTAGGGGTCAGAACGGATTAACCTATTTTACATTGAACCTTATGGGGAAATTTGATTCGGTTTGCGACCAGAATCGTGGAACGAATTAACTTCATGAACCGAGGTACCACTGTACATATAACGCTTTCATAAAAAACAGAAGAAAAAAATTCTGATAAGCCACATATTAATCAAAATTTTAAAACAAAAATGAAATTAAAATGTTTTATTTGAATGGGCTTCCAAATGCACCAGAAAGCCACATGTAGCTTTTTGGTAGCACACTATACGATGCCCTGCAAAGCAAGTTAGTAAAGTGTGTTGGGGTGCTTTTCAGAATGAATGACACCGCATTGCACCAATGCACATTACCTCCGCACAAAAGTGTAAAAGAGCCATTAGTTACAATCAGACCTAACCAGGGTTAAATTTGTACCCTAATATGGGTAAAAATGTTCCCCTTAAACACCACTGATAAAACAAAAATCACTAACAGTAATAACAGTCTAATTATTTCCATAGTTCTAAATTCTGTACACCTACTTTAAAACTTCAGTGTAACCCTTTGCAGCTGCTACATGCAGAGCTGTGCCTCCTGATTTTGCATGTCGAACATCGCTTATCTGGCCACTGTTTAGCCACTGTCTTGCATCTCGAAGCATTATCCTTTCTTCCTCTTTCCTCGCTGCTTCCACATCAATACCTAAATGCAGCAGTGAAAAGAAAAAGAAAAAGCTGAAACAACTCCGTATTTAAAGGATGACTAACAATCACGATGAAGATTTTAACTTAAAGAACACTGTGCATAAATATACTTAAATCCTCGCCGTAGCGGTACGATTGCACAATTCGCTGTAAGCGAACAAAAGCTGAATGGCACAGGCCTTAACAATACATAGGTACAGTGTAGAATTATTTGATCCCATGCAGATTTTTATAAGTTTGCCCACTTACAAAGAAATGAAAGGTCTACAATTTTTATTACCATAGGTGTATTTTAAATAACAGAATATCAACCAAAAATCCAGAAAAACCACATGATACAAAATGTTCTAAATTGAGTTGTAGTTCAGCAAGTAAAAACATTATTTGATTCCCCAAGCAAAACATGACTTCGTACTTGGTGGAGAAACCCCTGTTGGCAAGCACAGAGGTTTCTTGTAGTTGGTTACCAGGTTGCACACATCTCAGGAGGGATTTTGGTCCACTCTTCTCTTCACTTTGGTCTTTGGTCCAGATCTTCTCTAAATACTTAAGGTTTCTTGGCTGTCGCTTGGCAACTCGAAGTTTCAGCTCCCTGCATACATTTTCAATAAGATTAAGGTCTGGAGACTGGCTAGGCCACTCCATGACCTTAATGCGCTTCAACAACTGCTTTGTTGCCTTGGCGGTATGTTTTGGGTCATTGTCATGCTGAAAGACCCATCCATGACCCATCTTCAGTGTTCTGGCTGAGACAAGGAGATTCTCATTTAAGATTTTACAATACATGGCCCCGTCCATTGGCCCCTCAATGCGGCAAAGTCAGCCTGTACATTTAGCAGAGAAACAGCCCCAAAGCATATTTCCACCTTCGTGCTTGACTGTAGGGATAGTGTTCTTAGGGTCATAGTCAGCATTTTTCTTCCACCAAACACGGCGACACAAGTTAATGCCAAAGAGCTCAATTTTGGTCAGCTGACAGCAGCACTTTCTCCCAATTCTTCTCTGAATCATTTAGATGTTCATTGGCAAACTTCATACGAGCCTCTACATGTGCCTTCTTGAGGGGGAACCCTGTGGGCGCTGCAGGATCTCAATCCATGGCGATGTAATGTGTTACCAATGGTTTGTTTGGTGACTGTGGTCCCAATTGCCTTGTGGTCATTCACAAGCTCACATGGAGCTCCTGACCAAGGGCAATTGATGGTTATCTTGTATTCCTTTCATTTGCGAATATTCGCTCCAACAGTTGTCTCCTTCTCACCAAGCATCTTGCCGATAGTCGTGTAGCCCATACCAGCCTTGTGCAGGTCTACAATCTTGTCCCTAACATCCTTTGACAGCTCTTTGGTCTTGCCCATGGTGGTGAGGTTGAATGGAAGAAAGGAGATTCTGTGGACAGGTGTCTTTTATATACATAACGAGTTGTCTTTAGGAGCAATTTCTTAAAGTGACAGGACTAATCTGTGTACCACATAGCCAGTCAGAGCCAGAATTATTGTTGGTTGGTAGTGGATCAAATACTTACTCACTGAACTGCAACTCAATTTATAACATTTGTATCTTGTGTTTTTTTTCTGGATTTTTGATTGATATTCTGTCTCCATCAGTTAAAATACACCTATGATAAAAAAAATTATAGACCTTTCATTTCTTTGTAAGTGGGCAAACTTACAAAATCTGCAGAGTATCAAATTTTTTTTTACGCTGTATGTATACACACACACAAGGTATTTAACCTAGTTTCTGGTGGCATACAAAGGGGAGAGAGAAGGGAAGGAAAGTATAACATACTATGGGAGCCAACTATAGCATGAACCTGTGGCTATACCATGTGCAAGCAATGCACAGGTTTACTTAAGGTCTGTAGAGTAAGGAAATCATATTCCACTGGCTTTAAATTGGTTTCTTTGATAACTAAAATTTCAAAAACTTTGTCTTTGCCTGTTAAAAGAAACGATGAGAACCGTAGGCACAGTGGTCGACCAAGAAACCTTAATGCAGCAGATGAGACACATCATGCTTAATTCCCTTCGACATCGGAAGATGTTCAGCAGTGCCTTTAGCACGAAACTGGCAGAAGCCAGTGGAACCCAGGTACACCCATCAATTGTCCGGAGAAGTCTGGCCAGAAGTGGTCTTCATAGAAGAATTGTGTCCTCCGATGTGAAAACAAGACTAAGAGACTCAACTATGCACGAAAACATAGGAACTGTGGTGCAGAGAAATGGCAGCAGGTGCTCTGGACTGACGAGTCAAAATCTGAAATATTTGGCTGCAGCAGGAGGCAGTTTGTTTGTTGGAGGGTAGTACAATAATGTGTTGGAGGTTCCTTGCAAGTCTGGGGGCTGCATTTCTGCAAATGGAGTCGGAGATTTGGTCAGTGGTGTCCTCAGTGCTGAGAAATACAAGCAGATACTTATCCATCATGCCATACCATCAGGGAGGTGTGTTGTTGGCCCCAAATTTATTCTGCAGCAGGACAACGACCCCAAACATACAGTCAATGTCACTAAGAACTCTCTTCAGCGTAAAGAAGAACAAAGAGTCCTGTAAGTGATGGTTTGGCCCTGATCTCCACATCAAGTCTGTCTGGGATTACATGAAGAGACAGAAGGATTTGAGGCAGCCTACATCCACAGAAGATCTGTGGTTAGTTCTCCAAGATGCCTGGAACAACCTCCCTGCCAAGTTCCTTCGAAAACTGTGTGCAAGTGTACCTAGAAGAATTGATGCTGTTTTAAAGGCAAAGGGTGGTCACACCAAATATGGATTTGATTTTGATTTCTCCTCTGTTCATTTACTTTCCATTTTGTTAATAATAAAAAAAACTAACACTTATTTCTGAAAATATTTTTACTTTACAGCATTTTCTGCACACCTTCCTAAAACGTTTGCACAGAAGTTATTAGTACCGTGTTTCCCTGAAAATAAGACAGACACTGTCTTATATTTATTTTCCCCCAAAAAAAAAAAAACACACTAGGTCTTATTTTCAGGGGATGTCTTTTTTAATGTGCAAAAAAATGGTCAGTATGGGTAATGCTGATCCCTTTCTTTCACTTTCACAGACGGATTGCATCTGGTGTCACTTTGCCTATCACAGTAACCAGCGCTTTAGAGGAAATATCTGCTAATGTTGCTCTGCTCCCTGCGCCACCGCAGCCTTGCTTTCTACAGCGCAAGGCTTCCTTTGTCATCAGGGACAACGGTACAGCAGTGGGGACGTCAGACAGCGTGGTAAAGTACGGTACCATTTACCGGTACACATTACAGTACCATTACATTAAGCAGTGCCTTCATGGGGACAGCAGTTGAAGTATGGTACTGGAGTGCTCCCTGTCACTGCGCTGGCCGGAAGGAGTCCCCTGTCATCCCCTTAATACAGTATGTCCCTTTAACGTTGTGCCACTACTTTGTTTGCGTACCCATAGCTCCTCCTTATCCCATGCCCTCCCTTGTATGTATGGTCCCTTCCTTCTGTCATGCCTCCACCCATTCTTTCCTACCCCTTCCCTTATAGATACCCTCTAGTATAGTATGTTCCTTCTCAGAGTTATTCCAATGTTGGAAATGTTGATTGACATGGATACTTTCACTGTGGGATTCACATAGGGAGGTTTAATTACAGCTACATTCCGTTGTGACCATTTTGACATTCTCGATCCCAAGGTGGAAGAATTCTATGGTTTAGTAGATGATGTTGTATAAGTCTTATAAGTGCTAACATACCAAACCTGTATCCAATTTTTGAATGTAGTCAACATTGTTGTATTGCAAATATTTTCTAATTCAATTAAAATCTAAAGTTGAAAAAAATACAGTATGTCCCTGCAGGCTGATACCATCTCTCCTGCTCTTCAAGTTCACCTGCTATCACCAAAAAAGGTCTTATTTTCGGGGTAGGTCTTATATTACAGGAATCTTGAAAAATAGTGCTAGGTCTTACTTTCGGGGTAGGTCTTATTTTCAGGGAAACGGGGGTACGTGCAAAGTAGCCGTTTGTAAAATTCACTCTCTAATAGAATAGAATTTTACAGGGGTGACCTTTCACACCTCTTGGAATTTCTGAACCATTTATTCAAGTGCCACAGGTAAATGTTAGCATAATAGTGTTCAAAAATAAATGTATAGATTTAATGTTTTTGAACTTATGAGTGCATTTGTATTTAAAAATAGATGTGAACCAGATACTGTTTGCTTTCTATGCATGAAACTTAAATAGTGACAAGATTTTAGGTAAATAACTCTAGTCTGAATGAGCAGTGACTCTTGCCTTTAGCAAAATTTGGTAGAAATTAATCCTCTCATTAGCTCGAATGGCATTTATACATTTTGTTGAAATGTATTGGAGTCCAAAGGGAGAGCAAAGTCGTAGAAATTTTGCCAAAGGCTAAATTAATTGTGATTAAATTTCCACCCTCATCCCTACTCACTAGCAATGGTAAGGACGACATAAAAGGATGACAGTTGCAGTTGCATGACAGTTTCTCACCTTATCTGAACCTTCAAAAACATAATGAGCGCACAGATGTGCCAGACAATTATATTTTTAGTTTGGGGGGACAGTATTCCACTGGCATCTAAAAGTGCAAGTAGACGCACTGTTCTAAAAAGAGCAGGTTAACCCCTTTGGTGACTTCAGAAAATGTTTCTTCGTTCTTGGGGACCGGAGGAATTTTGCCATGCGTTTGTTTAAACATAATTTCCATCTTCCTCATGCATTGCACCTACACATATTATATATACAGTGTTTTAAAGGTGAACATGGGATTTAATTTGATGTGACATATGCATATACAAGATTTATTTAAAAAAATAAATAAATACAAAATGAAAATAAAGTTAGTTTCACATTATTTTTGGCAATAATAATGAGTACATAATGTAGCTGGCAGAAAGTAATTCATAATAAATTATTTTGTCCCGATTTATAGGGTATATCATATGTGTGGGATATCAGTTTTTTTGGGGAGTTATAGCTCACGAAATACAATGAGT